TGGTGATCTAAACACCCTGATGCACCAAGGCAGTGAGCCAGGCGTTTGAAATAAGACTCCACGTGAAAATGAGCCAGGGGGCGACAGACTGACTGTTCCAAATGCATATACCGTCTAGAAAAGTGGTTACTGTTGGGCTTGTTTTGTTTCCAAAACATTAGCTTTGCTGTAGCATGCTATTCAAAGCATCATATTGGTCATCCTGATAAGCACAGTAAACTATAATGTCAGAGCGTGCAACACAGTGAGCCAGGCTGACATCCTCCCACACAGTCACACAGTCACATCCTGGAGTTTAAAGAATAGTGTCCTGAATAGGGTTCCAATTAACGTATGAACTGTGTCAGCTTTAATAAAAAAACATTTAATCATGCTGTTGTTCGAGAGGCACTTTTGTGACAATTGTGACATCCCAGCTGACTTTGAATCATCAGATATAATATGGAACTAAAAGCTCTAAGAAAACAAAAAAACGTAAAACATTGAGCTTACACACACACACACACACGGTTGAATCCATGCCATGTGATTCTGAAACAGCACACCTTTCAGTTCAGGCTCACAACACTGAACTGCACGGCCCGGTGTGATGATACTTCACAGCACAGTCTATTCTTAGAAAAGGGACATTTGCAGGGCTGAAAATTAAATGTCACTCTAGTTACAGAAATGCCACTCCCCAGTTTATCACGTTGCCATTTTTCGAGTAGTATCTGATTTTATAGAATCTTCAGTTTAATATTTGATGCTTGGACAGATATTACAAATTGTGGATTTTTACTCTCTGAATAGCTACAGCGTAACTAATCACTTTCATCTTGATAAGGAAGGATCATTATTTATGCAATAGCTGCAGCCCTGGATTTATGATTGGAAAAATAAGGAGTCTTCAGGTTTTAAGGGATCCAGTCGCTGTTGAATGGAAACAGAAAGGCTCCATCTGCATTTGTGCGTCACATGTGTTGTCCTTTCACTTGCTCACTTTATCATCTCCTGTATCAAAAGCTGTGACAGCAACAATGAGACAGAGGGGAAAATGACCAGTTATTGAGAAGGCAGAGGAGGGGGCTGACCTACACGCTAACAATAATGTCAGATTGTGCAAAAACATGTTAGGTCATCAACACCCTGACGCCTGGCTTAGACTGACTCATTAGGAGGCTGGTTTCAAGTAGGATCTAAGAGCAAGCCATAGTAGCTCACTTCAGGGAAAGAAGGTCTCATAGAAGTGTGATCTTGGGTTGTTGGCAGTCATGTTCAAGGGGTACAGAGGAGTAAGACATGAAAGGCCTGGGCTAATGTGCATGATTTATGATTTCATAGCCGAGGCATATGCTCTTAAAAAGTGACAAGGCGCTATGAACCATCAACAATTAACTGCTATAACTAACAATTCTGTTGCAACCTCTGCAAATCTCACCCTGACACCAAGCAGAGGTGTTTCTTATTAAATCACTGAGATCAAACTCCTTGCTCAGCAACGTGTATATTTCCAAGTTTCCCACACTGCACCAGTGAAGCGCTTCAAAAGCTGTGATTCAAATGACATAATTCACTGGACGTAAATGTCACAAGTTTAACTCGTATTTGGCTCTTTAATCTCACATCATCAACCTCCAATGAACACCATGACATAGTTGCTCAGCCAGAAAATTTGTTTCCATCACACCAGAAAAATCGCTTTATAAAATACAAGACTGTTAAATGAAAAATTTGCCGGGTAACCATTGTGAATAGACTGTTACGTTCAATAACACAAGAAAGGTCTCCCATTTGGTTTTTGCATCTAGAGAGACATAAACAAACTCACTAACAAGCATGCACATTGGCTGGTTCATTTCCTGTTTTTATGGTATTTCAATTATTTTAACACAATAAACAGCAATGCATCATCAAGGAAACCAAATGGAAAACTGCAAGCATACAGGAAAGAAAAGTTTCCACAGTTCTAAGCTTTTACAAGCACAAACTGGAGTTGCTGGGGAATGCTTCAAAGTTTACGGGAGAAGCTAAAGCTGATGAGACCAAAGGAACCTGTGTGTAACTGCTTTCACATAGGTTCAACATATGAAACGCTCAGTGCATGGTAAATAAAGATTTTAAAGAAAGGGTCAAATCTATTCAATTAAATCTAAAAAATAAAATAAACCACACTGCACAGTCAGACCCAAAAGCCACAGGGATCTAATTGCATTTGAGCAGTGATTTAAAAATTATTAGTGCTCTGAAAAGGCCCAAACACCTCTGTTTTCAAGTCTTGATCTGGTAATGATAAAGGGTAATTGGTTTTCAGACCCCAGTGCTCTGGCTTCAGTGTGAGGCACTAAAAGCCCATCCCATAGAGACAAAACTATTTAGATTAGTTGAGATCTGTCAGACTTTTCTCAAGTTGGATGTATCAGCTAGAAAATGCAATTTATTTTACCTTCAGTGCTTTACTGTGTGCTGTGTCAGGTTTGGCACACAAGACATGCGTGGGTTCGAAATTGGAGCGCAGCTCTCACCGTATCCTAAAAAAGCCTTTTCTATCTGCTGATACATGGGCACTTTTTAGCTGCTCTTCCTTCTCTTCCACTCTTTCTGTCCCGCTGATCTTGTAAAATTGCCTCCACTGTCTATCCTTGGTATTTAGCCTGCACAACAAGTATTTTTCATGCATCACTTCAACCCTTCATGCCATACTGCTCCCCTCCAGACATTGTTTTTCCTCACGAGAAGTTTCCTTATTAAAAGGCCTTTTGATGACAATGAGCTGTTACAAACAAAATTAAACTCAAATTACTACTGTGATGACCTGCACTTTAAATCCATTCATACACAATGCATAAAAAAGAAGGCTATGCCCAGTCAGTGTGTTTTTAATTGAGTTATGTAATCTTTGACTGATTCTTTTCATAAAACAGTATTCAAGACAAACTAACAGACACTAACAATAAAAGTGAGTATTCACAGTTCCTTTTATCGTGATAGTGAAAGAAAGAAATGGAGCCATAACCATCAAAAAGTCTGCAGACTTAATGAATCAAAAACACCACAAACAAGACAGAGACTTCACACCAAACATGTCAGAGATTTCTATAAGTTTTTCTTTACCTTGGCACTGGAATCCTTGCTTTCCAAATCCCCTGTGAAAGGAGAGGAGATTTTAATTGTGGTTCATCTTTAAACACGTATAAGCACAGTGACAATAAACTTTTTCATTCCAAGAGCACAGACTTGTGTATGTCCCTACTGAACAAAAATACTGCAGAGCTTTCACACTTATGCCTTTTGTCATTGTATCTGAAATTACAACAACGTATCCAGTGGAAAAAAGCAATATCCACACAGAGGTCTTCTTTATTATGAGCTGACACTTGACAGGCTTTCACTAAATATTGACATAAACTCAGTCTGAGAACTTTTGGATGAGTTTAAGTATAGCTGCACTTATATTCTCTTGATTGAATGGAGTTAAACAGGTTGGCCAAATTTCAACATTATACTGAAAGCCTTGCAGAGTAACCAAAGAAACCGTGTGTCCATAGTGTACAATCACACGTGGGTATTAGGTTAAAGCATACACATACGTTTGGACTCTGTATTGTGTTAGTCACAGCCTGGTGTCAGAAAACACGATAAATATCCCAGAATTCTCTTTGAGCTGAAAAGAGAAGCGCTTCCATATCAAGCTGTGCTTGGTGTGCTTTGCACTAAGGAGTGGTTGAAGGTAGGCCACAGGTCACTTTGTAAACGAGTCAGGCAAGTCACCTGAAATAAAGAGCCTGAGTTCAAACATCCACCGGAACCTGTAGAAGGCGTGAACAGCTACAACCAACTGTCTGAATGCTCACTTCTTTTTTATACAAGTCATACAACTTTTGCTGTTAGAAAAGTTACTATGTTGAGTCCTATTCCTGACATTTTGTCAGACTTTCCCACTGCATTTTTCCAGAAGTGCCTGCCTTAATCCAGAGAGAGCCAACTAAGAGGAAGTCCAAATGCCAGCACAAAACTTTAGATGAAGCGCTTTTCCATAAAGGATAGTAACTGCGTTAATAAAAAAAAACATTGGCCAGTAAGCGTAAACAATAGTATTCCTCTCCCGGTTAAAACAGGCAGCTGCAGCGGTCCAAGGGAGAACAAAACTCATCCAAATAATTTGACCAGCGCCAGTATCAGCAGCTGCATTGCAGTTATTTGTTTATCGGAGAGGACAGCAGCATGGGTGGACTTTCATAGAACAAATGCTCATCATTTTATTTACGTTAACAGACATTTGTGGATTTAATCTTATGTATGCACCACCACCAAAGTGGCTCTCTCAAGGGACTCCTGTCACCACCCAGACCCTCATAAATAAGAGTGACAGCTTTCATTTTACAGTTCCTCACAGGGACCCCCCCCCCCCCCCACCCTCCCCAAGTCAGATCATACCAATAAATCCAGTTTTACTCATTCCTATGCTGCATTTCTATTTACAGCATGAGTTATTGTTTGCATTGCAGCAGCAATAAACAGCTGCAGAGCAACTCCTCCCATATGGTAGTAGGACTCAATCGCACCAAATTCGTTCCTTTATAAAAAAAATTTAAAAAAGTGCGCTTGGAAGATCTGGACAGACTAAAGTCGTCCAAAAGTGCAGGGATTGCAGGTTTAAGAGGGAGCAGGCACCCCCTGCTTACATCATCAAGCAGTGTTCTCGACTGAAGTTATCCGATATGCAACAGGCAGCGGGGAGGAGAAGGGGTGGAGGCGGTGGAAAGGACGCACGGACGGAGGGGCTTACCAGATGAAGTCGGTGCAGTGGCTGCAGAAAGTCGGCTGTTTGAAGAACCGGGCTGTGAATTTGTGGTTCTTGACTTCGTGGACGTTTTTTTGCCTCAGCGCACCTTTTCGCGCAAACCTGTTCGCTACGTCCGCGTTGGGCGACTCGTTCAAACTTAGATCAGCCATGTCCCCCTAAAACAAAATAATACACACACACGCATACACACACACGCACGCACGAATCAATGAAGCTGCTGCGCTCGTGCTCGTGCTCGTCTTCGGCCGGTGTCCAGTCAGTTCGGACGCGCTGGAGCGGCGAGCCTGGCTGGAGACGCACGACTTACTGTCTGAGGGCTTTCCCTGCCTGTCGATTGCCGCTGCGCTGCTCCACAGACCCTGACAGCTCCACAGGCCGTCAGCCGAGCAATAGTGGCAGATGCAGCATCCGGTTACAGCACCAAAATTAAAAGTCCGCCCCTTTTCGATTTGGAAATGAAGGTTATCTCCCCTCCCAACGCACACCCTGAAACTGTACTTAGTTATGTTTTCCCAACATGTTGCTCTTGGGAGGCTTCCTGACCTAATAAGACCTGTTGAGATTGTTATTTCTTGTATCATTCTGCATACCCCACCCTTCTTCTTTGATTTCAGTCCCTTGAGGATGGCTTTTTGGAAGCCTTTTAGATTGAAACTATCACTGATGAGGCCACAGTGAACAGCAGAGGACTCAACTGAAGGAATTGAACAATGTTTTCTCATCTTTTAAGAACTAACTCAAGAAAGAAAAGCGAAGGAAATAAGATGCTACGTGAGGTTTGTGCTGAGCACTCTGCACAAGCCAAAGTTTATAAAAGCAATCCATGGTCAAATGGGAAAAATAGAGTAGTCTCTTACTAGATAAAGATAAAAATACACTACTGTATCAATATCAGCACTGACACGTTTTTTCTTTAATTCCTGAGGTATATAGTTCAGTAAAGTTGAGCAAATCATCAGCATGTTAGTATTCTTTTCATTTCTTGTTATTCGTCCAGCTAAAATTATGAATGACAGCCCAGTGTCTGTCAAGGCTTTAATTTTACAGCCACAGTCACAAAGTACGCAGCAGTACAATTCATGAAAGCATTAACATTCAAGTCCATCAAAAAGAACCAGCGGCGCCTTGTTAAATATTTATGTTTTGTATCTTTAAACAGGCTTTCTGAATTACATTTCAACATACAATTTCTTGAAAATTGAGTGAAATAAGTACTTAGCAGGCCATACTTTTAATCATGAGCAATTCATTTTCTCTTTATTCATTGAGATAAAGAAAGGAAACTGATATATTCTCATTTATTGGTACAACAGCACAGCCATTCAAAGAGTTGTTTCACCCATTTTATTGCGAACTACCGTTTTCCTGTTGCTCTCTTATGTACTTCTGTCTAACTTGACAGTCCTTCGCTCCTCTTCCTCCTTCTCACTCCGATTGATGTCATGCAACAGGATCCTCTGTGGGAGGGAGGTGGCCCCCGGTCCCAATGAGGGAATTTAAGATCGGTGCGTCATCGTGTGGAAACACAGCTTACTACATTCTGTATAATGACAGCATCTGTAAGCAAAGGATTCACATGAGGATAGGCTCAAAACTAAATCACAAAATCATCATGGTATAAAACAATAATGGATTTGACTGTGAATTATTTGTGTTTTTAAAGCATCATATAATTGAAAAATGTGTGTTTTATACTTACATATCTAGCTTCTGTTGTGTGTGTGTGTTTTTTTTTCTATTTAAGCTGTAAGTAACCATGATCTCCAATTCTATATTTCAGTGGACTCTATTCAGTGTGCTGTAATTAAGCAACTGAATCACTTTGACCCAACACAGAGCTCCCCGTGGCCATAAAGACAATAAATGACGATTATTTAAACATTTGTCTTTTAAAATGCTGAGAGAAATAAAATAGAATGGCTTTTTCGTTGCCCTCTGGTGGAATGAGCAACACTTACTTTAACTTTTGTCTTCCGTGTAATTACATTTATTCTCCCCAAAGATTTTCCCTCAGCCTGAGTTTAGCACATTTCATTTCCACTAAATTGAAAAATGTACTTTCTTCTGAGTTTTTAGCCATATGGTTCACTGACCTGCAGAAGAAGGCGAGTTCTCAGACATTATAAAAACAAATTAAGTCTTGTTGAATAAATGTTACCTGGTCTAATTTAAGGTCATGCCACCACCAGTACAACATATATCAATTTCAAAAGCAAATTACTGGAATAATAACAATGGGAGCTTTTAAAAGTTAGCTCCATGTAGGTAATGTTGCCTGCCCCAACAAATGCATTATTTCAGTAACACTCTGTAAGGCACAGAGTTTAATTTTTTTAATTAACACAGAGTTGCTTTTTTTTTCTTCTTTTTAACTTAATTTAGAACATGTTTCCAGGGGGTTCTTATTGCCTGGAACCAGATAGGAAATATTCATGAGCATGAGTACATGTGCAGCCAAAATCCCTTTATTGTAATTTTTGCTGTAAATATGCTTCTCGGGTTTGAAAAATCATCTTTCATAAGAGACTGTGTACCTGCTGCTCGTACGAAATACAGCTAATATATTAACTTTGGGTAAACATTCGGGAATTGTGACCTTTGCGCTCAATCAATATGTGCTTAACTAGCATATGATTGGAAGACACTTCCATGACCCCATTACCCAGCATCCCAGATATTGGTTTACCCAGAGGCAGGAGACACTGAGACCTCAATTCTGAGAAGATGTCTCCAGTTTTTGCTTTTCTGCTTCTCAGCCAAGCAGCTTTACATGCTCTGGTAACATCTGTAAAAGGTAAAGTGAGGTTGGATTATTGCAACATTTTCATATAGAATGGAATTAATTTGTGCACTTTGCTAATGTGCAGCTGCAAACTATTTTGCTTGACATATAATCAATCACTGTCTATTTTAACATATGCATTTTGTGCCTCCTCCAGCCTTGATTGATGGTTTTGAATGAGAAGTGTAGTATTTACAGCAACCAAACATTCTTCAGTAACGCAGAAAACCCCAAACTTAACTGCCTGCACATGTGAGATAACTGTTTCTAGTCTTTCCAGGTCATTTCTCAGCTCGCTTTTTGTCTTTAACCAGTTTGCGGCCGACCTTCTCTCAGTGATGGGATTGATATTTCGTCCTTAAAACGTGTGTTTGAAGTTGGAGAAGAGGTGACCCTTACGTGCGAAGAAGGGTACCTGCCTTCAGCCGCAACACCTCCCAGAATATCCTGCACTTCCACAGGAGAGTGGACACAATCTAACCTGGCATGCTCCCGTGAGTTCAAATTGTGCTGATGCACTACACTTTTACCATGTGCTTCAAAAATTGTGAAGAGGAAGTCGGAGTAAAGGTTGGATTGTGAGAGTGCTTTTGTTCTGCCGACCTTATAGAAATCCAACCATACAAAAGGAAAATCAATACATGAAATTGTAGGGCTGACTCTGCCCTGCAAGGCCTTTCAGTCTCTTACTCCTTAGTTAATCATAGTAAAATGTTGTTTCATTGGATTTTTCACCAATCCAAAGAAAAGAGTCAGTTTCAAGAAAAGCCTGAATGTGTTCATTCCTCTCCACAAAAACTGCAGTTTTTGTAAAAGTTTGTGTTGTTTGTAGGCAAAAATACAACCTAAAAAAACAACAATGCATATAATCTCAAAAGAAACCAAACTCTGCAAGAGTCTGATGCTGGTTGACAAACCAAATAGTCTATATGCTGAAAATATTATCAATTAACACGTATTAGCAATGGCCTAAATAAACACAAATAAGAAGTAAAACCATTTCAGAAAGTCGAGCAAAATAAACAACAATCCAATGAGGCAAAAAACTAAGAAAAAACTACACATCTATAACAGATGTAGTGATGTTCATGTTTTAACCTCTTGTCTTTAGCCAAGATGTGCTCAATCCCAAAACCTCTGCAGCCATTTGCAAAGGGGAGAACTGAGGCGCCATACAAGAGTGTGCTTAACTACAGTTGTGACGATGGGTAAGAATAATGGTGAAATTCACTCCATAACCAGGGGTTTCAGAGGATAAGTGACAACATAAATCACAGAATTGAGCCCTTCACTTGTTATTGTTCATTAGGTATGTCATGCTGGGAGTAAATGAAAGCAGATGCTTACATGATGGCACCTGGAGTCACCCACCACCTCTCTGCAAAGGTACTGTTGAGGAATACGGAAACATGTTCCATCAATGTTCAACTGAGAGCAAACACAAAATGTACTGTATGTTGCATAGAAAGAAAGCTAAACATTTCCTATCTTATAGCATTTATTTATTTTGCAAGAACCCTTTGATTACCCTTTTTATGGTGTATTATGTGACATACAGTTCCATATGTGTCCAAAATTGTTTTTCCTTCTAGCTGTGACTTGCTCCCTGCCAAAGGCGCCGATAGATGGTAGAATTGTCCACGATAAGCCAGTTACCGGAACCTCAACAATTTATGGCCAAGGCTGGACATATGAGTGTAATCTATCTAAAGCACCGACTTATGAGAGAGGGTTCTGCAAGGCTGATGGAAGTGCAACTGACCCACCGACTTGTCGAGGTGTGCAGAACACAGAACAAAACCCCCACAAACCCTGTGATTTTCTGTGTGTATAATTCCTTTACATGTCTTTATTCCAGAGGTGAACTGTGGCATCCCAGTAAACATACCCAACGGCCACATCACATTTGCTGTGATGAGACCACATGGCTACAAGGAGAAAGTGAAGTACGCTTGCGCTGATCACTACACTCTGGACGGTCAGGCTGAGATCCAATGTCAAAACACAGGAAATTGGTCATCAATGCCTGTCTGCAGGGGTGAGTCATTAGAAAACCACACATTCCTCCAAGCTCAAGCTTTGTTTTTATAGAAAACCTTTTGCGATGACTCATAGGATGTTTCCAGAGTCCAGGCTCTGAAAGAAAATATCACAGGTTGTTTTTTCCAGCACAGCTTTTCTGCAAGTGAATGGCTGCACTTATCTTGCAACTGGTAAACTGGTAGTAATTATGTAGCCTACAGACCGGATTAGTGACAATTGGGGAACATTTTTCACATGGTCTGTTTTCTTCCTTAGCTCCCTGCACAGTTGGCATAAAGAGAGGCCGAATCTTTTACAATGCCAAGAAGCTTTGGATTCAAGACCTGAAACCAAACAGAGTCCTCCACGGAGAGCACGTTGTCTTCTATTGCCTGAACAAAGCCGAGAAGTGTGGCTATCCTGTAGCCAGCACGTGTAAAGATGGAACCCTCCCCATCCCAGAATGCTTTGAGGGTGAGTTCATGCCAATGTAATTGATCTGTGCAAAATTGCTTTGGCCTTGAAAACCTCACTAATAATGGTACTACTTATGGAAAAAGTGCAAGGGAAATATCATCTATCCACTTCCCGTGATTTTCTGGATTTCTGGTTTTCTACTAATTTATTCCAAAGATAGATATACTGTACAAGCAACCTATGTTTCCCCCAAAAAAGTCACATAATAGGTTGGATGGCTTCCAGAAGTCTAGAAATGGCTGTGTAGATAAATCAAAGTTTCTCATGGTGAGGCTACGATGATAATCACTTCTGTCTTTTTTCTTTCAGAACCAGGCAAAGTAGAGTACAACTTAAGGTCTAAAAACCTTCCATCAGAAATCCGGATGTGTGTTGCTTCCCCTCCTGCCAGTCCAACAAGCTCTGCAAGATCTGCATGAATTCAGATTTTATGCTAAAATGGATGACTCTTCATTAAAGCTTGTTTATCTTTACCATATAATCTAGTAGACAACTATTAAGATATGTAAATTAATCAACACCTGAAATGTGAATGTGTACAAAAGAGATTGGATTAACTAATAAACTGATCAATAGTGGAGGCAATTGAAATGGCCTGAATGTGATGATGCAATAGTCCACAAATGCAAAACAAGTTTAACAGACTGAGGATATTCCTGAAAATTGAATGACAGGATGATTTCATGAACCTCTCTAAGTTTGGTAGAAGAGTATTGTTGAAGTGACCAATAGAATAAATCAGATATATTTGTTTCTTTTGACGAAACAAATGGAAGCTCTGACTTTCTGAAACAGCGACTTGAATCTACCGAAACACACCTGGGGTAGAAGAACACAACACATTCAGAAAAGAGCAGCAGACGGTAAGTTTATAAGAGAGCAAGAGGTGCTCTAAACTCTGTTGTACTGAGTAACCAGTCAATGGTTCAAGGTTCAAGGAATCTTTACTTTATCTGTGGGGTAATTTAGTCAGCAGTAAGAGGCCAATCAGTCGCTGCAACAATCATGCAGAAAAACACAACCACAGAGCAAAACTGAATGAAATAGCAGCATAGGTACAATGACGAATAAAGACAAAGAAGCAGCACAAACTCACACACTTTTGATTAAAACAAATCCAATTTTTTAAGGTGAGTATTATTGCAATTATTGCAAACTGATACAGTTTTTGAACATTTTAAATTAGAGCGATATTCTAAACAAGGCCTGACATCAGCCACTGCACTTTTACAGCCTTACATAAGTCACATGTCATGATCATTTATGAAAAACTAACGTATTTCCAAGACTATATTATTTACATAGTTTCTCATTTAAAACATTATGAATGAACTAATTATTTTTAAAACAGACTGAAAATAAAACAAGCCAAAGTTAGTTAAAAATCAACTGGAACATGACAAAGCCTGAGGGGATTGGAAGCTAGTAACAGGAGAGAGGCTGACTGCCTTCACATCTATTCCTGGGAGAATTAATTTCATTAATTCACACTCTACCTCTTTGGGGATTTAATTTCAGTGTGACCTTAACTGGAGGTGGTGCGGAAAGTTGAAAGTGACCTCATAATAATTGTAGTTGCAATGAAAATATACTCAGTAACAGCAAGTTGTTCATGATTTGGCAAATCAAAAAAACAAAGGAAAAGCTAACTTTAATACACAGGTTAATGTTAGACTTTATTTTTTAAACTTTAGGTATTTATATAAGCACTAGTGTATCACTATTAGTTGTTTTTTATCTGTCTTGATGGTATTTTTGCTCAGTTAACGTTGTAGCATGAGGGATAATGCTTTGAGCGATGATGGTCAAGATGAACTGAAGTAATTGGACACTACTTGTTATTATTGCATTTAAATGGTTGTATTTATTTTAGGGTATTATTCAAATTTGGTGCGTTGTAATCCATTTCTTTGTCAAGCTTTCTAAAGCATATGAAAAAAGAACATTTCCTGTTTTTATTACTGAGGTGATGAAGCAAAGTGTGCTCCTTTGGTCTTTCACTTTCAGTAAAATGGAGCATAATTTACTGGAAATAGAAAGCAAATGAAAAAAGTGACGTCCCCATGCACTTATCTGTTTACTTTAGAAAAACACAAACAGATGTGGGAACAGGGGCAGCGAGTCAGTATTTGAAACAGAGACCAAACGAGAGAGAAGACTGTGTAGATTTTGACGAAAGGATGAAAGCTTTGGTCCCTTTCTTTCTCCTGTGTTCATTTCTTTTTTTCACCCCAGTGACATCCGAACAAGACCATGGTATTGCTGATTTTTTTTATCTTCAAATATATATTTCCCTCTGATTCTAAAGCTTTAGTGAAATGTTTTCGTTTATGTAAATGTTAGATTGGGAAAAAGATTTAAATATAAATTCTTATCCTATTCAATACTGTTCCATATTTCCAATTCTACATGTATCATGGTGTCACAGTTCAGAGTGAATAATTCATTTCAGTGTAAAAAGCTCACATTATGACATATTTTTCTGGCACCCAGTTTGTTACATTGTAAATCTCCTGTGGGACTGAGTTTATTGTCTTACATTTTTATTACCGGTACTTTGACTGAGTACATAATACATTTATTTGTTTTTTCGTAGTATGCATTAGACCCGAGCTGACTGGCAACATCGTGATTGCTGGAATCCAGAAGTCCTTTGGCCCCGGGGTGGTTTTAGCACTGTCCTGTCAACAAGGATACACCCCAGTGTCCGGTCCCCGTGAGATCGTTTGCACTGTCAGTGGGGAATGGACAAAAACCAAATTCAAGTGCATACGTAGGTGTCTTTTATTCAAATAAAAAATCAATTAATACAAATTTATATCACAATTATAATTTACCGTCCTGCTATCAAATTCAGTAGTAAAAATATTGATACTTTGTGGTGAAGAACAAATTATTGTTTGAAAAATAGTTCATAAAAAAGGTGAAAGAGTTTGAATGTACACACAAATTTAAGACAAAGTGTTGTGACTTATGTACTGTGAATACATCATGGACAGAGTTTTTCTGGCTAAAAGTCTAACTTAAGAATCAAATATCAAAATCCTCCATGTGAACTTCTCCTCTTTTTTTTTTCCACAGCAAAGCGATGCCCTTATCCTGATCCACCTTCAAATGGAGACTTGTACTATGAAGATACAGTGTACCAGAGCACAGTCAACTACACTTGCTATGAAGGGTAATGCAAAGGCCTTCAATTAATACTAATCAAAGGAAAACCTACCTGATTTGATCAGAAAGTATTGCTTGCGTTTTATAGATAAAAAGTACACCAGCTTTACAATTCTGATCTTAATAAAATGAGGAAAATAAATAAAACTAACAAGCTTTCGGCTCACAGTGTATTTTGCCTGAGTTTGCATGTTTTCCACCGGTGTGCGTGGCTTCTCTCACACTGAGAAATACATGTGAGTGTGTGTGAGACCCGACTAGTAATCAGCAGTACAGCAAATGGATGGATGCGTTTTACCTGATTTTAGATGATAGGTTTTCTATTATTTATTCGTCAACCTTAACTGACTGAATCAAATGACACCTCACAGGTATATAATGACAGGATCCAGTACTGCTGTGTGCCAAGCCGATGGAACATGGAGTACAACAGTGCCAGAGTGCAAACGTATGTCCTCTACCACGTTGTTCAGCAGATAAAAAGCTACACCTGAAAATCTTTTAGTTACTTTCATGCAAAGTCAGGAAAGTAATCCATTTAAAATCAAATGTGGGATGAATATGCCTATTAATCTAAACTGTGGTGTTGTGTCTCCACTGTTATAGCTGTGGAATGTGGTCTTGCACCAGTCCCAAAGAATGGAATGGTAATTTATGACAAGAAAGTCAGAGGGAACACGACTGAATACAGCCTCACAGCTACATACGTATGTCTGCCTCCATATGCAATCTCTGGTGACCCAACAGCAGAGTGCACTGCCAGCGGGGCCTGGACCAAAACACCTGAATGTCAAGGTATGATTATTGTAAAAGCCATAAAATACTACCAGTCTGATATGAGTACTTTTGTGTTTGTGTACAGATACACTGGCTGAGCGTGTAACTACTACTGCCACTTGAAATAGTAACATGTTTTGCACTGTGTGCGATTGTTGTATACTATCATGAATTGTAATTTTACAACAATCTTGTCCAAAGACTTTTTCACTTTTTAGGTCTACTTTCAGTCTCAGTTGGTTTGGGTGCTGTTTATAGAATGCAGGGTTAAGGATTTAATAAAACACATAATTAGGGTTAAGGATAATCAAAAGCATGGTTTAAAGTCCAAGTCATATCCATATGATTCTTCTGGATATTAAAACACACACATGTAAAAATATAGATCTCAAAATATCTTGATCTTTATTGTAACAGAGGAATTATCTTTTTCTTCTGTGCTGACAAAGAATATGCAACACACAAGTTCATTGTCCAACCTGTTAAAAAAAAAAAGCTCACATTGTATATTAACAAGGCAAATATTAAGAAAAATTGTTCCTGATTTTATTTCATTAACACAATTACAGTGAATATTGTGACATTTTTACCTTCAGCAACATGCAACGCTAATTTTTGCACAAAAGACCATGATGTGTAATCAATGGGCTGTATTTTCTTATCTGCAGTTGTGACGTGCCCTCCACCAGGGAGAATTGAAAAAGGCTATCTGTCAAACAGTGACCAAAAAGAATACTTTTTCATGGAAAAGATCAAATGTGGCTGCGATGAAAACTATGTACTGGAAGGGAATCTGGATATTGTTTGCCAGAAGGATGGTCAGTCGTCTGAAAAGCCATCCTGCAAAGGTAGGACTGCAATTTGTGGTACTGCTTTTATCACCAGCTCTGTGAAACAGAAAAATCAACCGTGCCGACAATTTCACAAGTTTTTCTTTTTGTGAGCCCAGTGTGGGGTTTTTTGCACAACTATCAGAGGTATCTGTTTGGATTGTAGAGAAGGTTTCGTTCATCTTGAACCTTCAATGACGCCACGTTCACTATTTGAAAAGAAGAATAATCAAAAAGATAACTTCCTCATTTGATGTTTGTTCCTCTTAAAGAAGAATCGATTGGACAAGATTCAAGAGTATTTCATAATTTTCTTAAAGTTTATCAAAAACAAATAATTTTTTACATATTTAGTAACTATAATAATGCAAACTGCACATTAAGTTCTCTAATGTGATACAAATTAACTAACTTTCCACCTCTTTTTGTACATTGTAGCTCCCTGTACCTTTGGCATTCAGCGGGCACAAATATTATACAAGGGAAGGAAGATGTGGAGCAAAGACCTACAACCAAACTTGCTTTTACACGGAGAACTTATCTCAGTCTATTGCAGCAATAAGGACAGGAAATGTGCTTATGCTGCACAGACTCAGTGCATGGATGGAACACTCAAAATCCCTGAATGCTTTGAAGGTAAGACAGATTCCATCTAGTGGAACAAGAAAAGCAAAAATGACAGCCACGTCTCTTTTCTTATCTGGCTACTGAAATCTTTTTGCTATAATATTCTAAAGACATCTGATTAAGGCTGAATGAACGCCATGTTTTTCAGTTGATTCAGAAGTCTGTAATGATAAGAAAATAGATTAATAAAAGCATGGCCTCTCCCAATGATGAATTTTTGTTTTCCCAAATATAAAGACAACAGATTTTTCTCTTCTGCTGTCTCATTCATTCTTTAATTTTCAGGAATGAGACCAACAGTTTTTCTCTGTTTTGTCCCCTCTAGAACCCAGTGGGATAGACTCTGATTCCCTTCCTTCAGAAATCGAACAGTGTTGAAATAGTCAGAAATCTCTCTGGCCTCTGATGAAGTCACTGGAGTAAAAACATGGAAAGTTTTATCCTCCAGTTCACAAAATAAAATAAATTTGTCTGGCTTTTTACCACACAATAAAGCTTCAATAAATTCCATTGTCAAAACGTCATTTCTGACTCAGTGTTGAGAATGTATGGTGTAAGGCTACATTATTCTGTACTGATAACATGTAGGACACCAGTGGCATCTGAAATGTTCAATAAGTTGTTGATTTCAGTTAATGTGGTAATCATTTATTTCCATTTTGATAGATGTCTGCAAATGTATATTTCACTGCAACTTTTAATAGTCACATGTTGACTTGGTGGAGTGACTGGAGTGACATTAGAGTGCAGTTCTGCAGAGGTTGCCTCATTTGAGCAGGTATGGTAACTATATGTGTACTTCTGACAGTTCAGAAGGTTATTTTATATTTTGAAATATATTATGTGATTGTTATTAATGCCATTTTTAGAGACCTCTATTTTTACATAAAAGTAGCGTCAAACAAACTGGATTATTGGCTGCAAACCTTAGTAAACCAAGTTGCTTTTAAAATCGTGCTGCAGTATGCCCCCTTGTGGCGATGTCGAATGCTCTATTCTCGCGAGATTTAATGAAGCCCACCTTCTTCTAGTCCAGCATGGCAGCGCTGTATGAGGGATACACGTTGTGTGGGCTTGGTTTACATCAAAACCTGACAGTATCAGGGATTCAGGGTATCGAAGAGGAGAGAGACAGCGATCATGTAATTGTTACAGATTCAATCAGATCTGTGACTCTATATAAGGTAACGTTTAGACTTTGTTTTTGCTCTCGTAACGTGAAGCAGCTGATCGGTGCGATCAATGTGACTCGTGTTAGCATCTCTCGTCTGGGCGAAAATAGCTGTAAAGTCGTAAGAGGAATTCAAGACAAACTACAAATTTATCTTATTCGTCACACATTTACAGATTTACTTGAAAACGAACAGGCATCTTTATCCTGTCTTGGGAATTTGTTATGCTCGTCTGTGTAGACTGGCGATTGGGAGCTAACGCTAGCAGCATACACCAATCACCAATATCTAACTTGAGTGAATTTCTCAACTGTATGGTGCGTGAGTATTTGTTTTTTGGCTCCAACAGGTGTCAGATCAGAAGCCACTTGGCACATGGACAGTGAAACAAGGACAAACTCTGACCTGTTCAGCGGTCTTCAACTTACAGACCAAGGAGTATGTTGCCGTCTCGGACAACAAGGTATCTTGTTTCAGTTTTTGCATCGTTAATATGGAAAGAAACATCGAGGTTCTTGTAATAATATCACCATCGTAATCCTCTGTCATGTTCACTTTGCCCTGTCGTGCATATCATTTTTGATTATGATAAATTATTGATGATCTTTTATTATTGAAATGGAGTGTGAATAGATTCCCCCTTTTGCTTGTTTTATCCTTTTTGAGTTTGAGCCTCAAAAGAAGTCAGTCCAACATGTAAGATCTTTTTGTGGCCTTTTTTTTTTTCAGGTGATAAGAATTTGGAAAGAAGAAGACATCATATTGGATAAGGCCTTCAAAGCAACAGTGAGTCAGAATATGTGTTTCTGTTTAGGGGACAGCCACTTGCATGCACCATTTGATCATTTTATTTGTCTTGGCATCACATTTCACAACTTCGAGCATTCCTTTTTGCTTTTCACTTTTCATATATTGCATTTGTTAAGAGCAGACAACAGTGTGCTCATGCTGATATCCACTTTTTTTTCTGAGTGTTTCTTTTTCCAATACCCAGATGTCTATTCTGTCATTTACTCTTGACAAACCTGCCGATGCTCTGGCTTTAAGCTACTCTTTCTCTCCAGGTGTCAGCAGATGTCTGGATGGTGCACTGCGCTCGTGGAGGAGAGCCTTTGGTGTTGTTTCAGAGGGGAGCCGTGAGAGTTCTGGACTCCCTGCTTTGTGACCCACAGCAGCCCATAGAGGAGGTCCTTGCTCCAGAGGAGACCATTAGGTCGGCATCGAAAAGCTAACGGCCATTTTCATACTTGTGGCATTAACGAGGAGATTGTTAGGATAAAAACACTTCCTCGTGGCTGGAAATCCAGTCTTTTGGCTGGTGTTTTTGCTTTTTCATTTCAGTTCCAAAAATTGTGTCTTTGTATTTCTTTAGCGTCTGTGTTGTCCTACAGCTGCTTCCATTGCCAAATATTAGAGAGTTTGAATTATTTGCAGGACTTTGCAGTTGCTACAATCTCTTCCACATAATGGCATGTGTAAAATCTGTTCAAAGCTCTAGGGGGCTGTAAAAAAATAATGTGCTGCTATGAATTTAAAGAAAATAGTGCATCTAAAATAAACTGAATTAATGGCAATGTAATATCATGTTTTCTAATGAGGGATATTTATTTTTTCTTTTCATTTTGGTAGGTGGAGCACCAGTGTTGTGGCAGAGACCCAGCAGCTTCTCATTTTCAGAACTGAACTGGTACCATCATTTTACCCATTGAACTTTAAACAATTAGAAATGAATTCCATTCTTATCTAGTTGACAATAGTTAATTAATTTGTTTTAAGTAATGAACTATTGCTTTCATTCTATATGGCATCGTTTGTATACGGCTGTTTTACATTAATGTCTCTGCGTGCCCACAGAAAGGAGATCATTTCCTCTACCTGCAGAGACTGAATCCCAGCTCTGTTCAGAAGTACCGACTTGAGGGCGAGGAGTCCGGACACACTCCGCTCAGCTTCTCCGCCTCGTACAGGGACAAACACATCCACCTGCTTTATCTCTGTACGTCTGAATTTCTGTGCCGTGATAAATATAATTAGTATCCATGTTTGATGGCTTATTCTAGGTTTGTAAATGACAAACGAAAACTGAAAAAAGCATTAAGTGGAACAATGGCTGAAATGACTTGAGTGGCTTATTTGATTAACGGTAGCTTTAATCAGCGTCTGGCCATTTTCCAACACAATTGCTATGGAATGTGTTATTTTCACAAGCTTTGGTAATTTATAAAACGCTTTGTAATTGATTTGTTTTTAACCATTTTAATAATAAGATTATTGTAATCAGAGTGAGTACGACAGATAAAGGCCTAAAATTCTTATAGGCTTGGATTCCTACTAAGCAATTCACTTGGTCACTATATCAAACGGCAGTATGTTGGAGCTCTGTCCAATTTAAGCGGATGTGCTTGTCTGTTTTTTTTTGTTTTTACTCTGGCATTTAGACCCTAACGGTCACGTGTACCAGAGCGTGATCTCGGTGCGGGCTCCAGAGGCTGACGTGGCGGCCCCTGCTGTCCTGCTGCCCCGCAGCCTGGTGCTCAGTCTTCCTGGAGCTGGGGACCTGCTGGAAGCGGCATCCGCCGTGGTGCTGGATGATGCCCATGTGGCTGTGGTGGGGGTTCCGCACCCATCGGCTGGAGCTGGGAAAGGTAAACGCTGGTCAAACTTTACTTGAACCTAAACCCAAATCTTTTTTTTTCTTTTTGTCTTCGGCTGCATTATGGCTGACATGTAGGACATGTTTCCATTCACGGTGTCTGTGGTTCAGAAATGTGTCTCTGTCCCATTTTAGACTTTCTTTGTATCTGGAATACAAATTTTCAGACGCTTCAAGCTGGAAAAGAAATGGGGGGTAAAATCTACGGACAGGTAGGAATCTATTCATTGTTGAAGGTATACAAATAGTCTGTGGATTACATTAATGTTTTAATATGTTCAGAAGTGTTTATGCAGTTGAAGTAAACGCGAACAGGCCAAGGTTCCCTGTCCTTCCAGCTGCTGGGTGCTGATGGAGGACTGTATGACTTTGGTAGACTATTGTATCTGCTCTCCACTGTGAGGGGGCCGGCTGTCCCTTACCACAACTTAACAGCAGTTTACAACCCAAAAACCAGTTGCATGAATCGAACTGTTGGACGTCTACAATCATATCCAGTGACGCACAATAACCGTATTGCTGTGATTTCCTTTCTCCTCCCCCATAGTTATGGAGCTACTCAAACAAGTTGTTCATTCCGCATGGGAAAACCCTTTCCGTCATACCGTTTGCATGCCCCAAATCGTCCCTTGCTTCTGCTCTGGGAAAGCTGAAGCAGGCCAAGACGGAAGGTGAGCAGTAACTATCAGCGGTGCTCTGAACACATAGATTAAATTGTTAGGATAAAACCACTCATCCACACAAGTGTTTTTTCTCTTACTCCCACAGAGTCCAGGCCTCTGGCTTTTGTGCCATCTTGGAATAATATCCTGCATGGAGACATAGGACGGGCCCCTAAAGCCGTGGAGGGCAGGAAGACGGTGCGTCGGTCAACTGTTGTAAATTGCGGCTTGAACTGACGTCGCAACAGTCGTAAAACTCAAAGTCAGACTGAATTTATGCCACAGAAACAGACATTGTACTGAACAGTCATGTCTTTTACATGAAGTAGTCGTTTCTTGTAGTCATTTAATAAATCGGGGTTCTTATTACGGTCATTTTAACCTTGCTAAACTTTTCTGAAATTAATAAATAATTGAAAAGCTTTATACTTTTTAATTTACCTCAATAAATCCGTATCTGAGTTAAAATATTGAAGACACTCTTTTATCCAGTTTTTAAAGTTTAGATAATGTGTGTGTGGAGTAATGGTTCGTTGTTCGTTTATTCAGAAGAACTTATTTGGATCTTTCTCTTTTCCATACAGAGAGGGACCCGTAAGACACAGCCGGCTGCTAATTTAACCACTGACCAAGTGCTAGAGCTCGTCAAGGTAAAACAGGATAGTTCTTTTATCGCTTAAAGACCGTATTGGCAGAGCAGCATTTGACAGGTAACAAGACAAAGCTATTTGGAAACCACATCCTATTTTTCCCCTCACACAGACGGCCCCAGTGGAGGAAGTAAAGCAGGGGGTACAGGGTCTGCTGTCCAGGCATGACCTCACAGACCTGCAGCCCTCGTTGGGTCAGCTAGTGTTCACCCTCGTGTCCCGGAGCATGGCTGATCCAGCTTTGTACTTGCCTGGCATCCTGGCACAGCTTGTGCAAACCCGGTACCTCTGCCACAGGTCAGTAAGGCACCATGATAGGACGAACGGATTATTATTTTTTTTTTTTTTTTAGAGTAACTGAAACTGTTTCCACGGTGAATAAGGTCAGTTCACCTCGCAGGGCTTTTATAAAGTGTAACCATATGCCGTCATTCCCTCCCACAGTGTGTGTCCTGATCTTTTGCTGCTGGCCCTGGAGAAGAAGGATTACTTTCTGTGTCAGCTATGCATGCAGGTCTTCCCTGACATCCCAGAGGCCTTCACCTGTGCCTGTCTCAAGGCATTCCTCAGGTAAGAGGGTCACGTCTCAACTCTAATATGGAATTATTTGATCGTTATGCAGGTATTGTATTGATTTGGCCACAAGGGGGCAGTAAATCCCTGATAAGCTGTTTAGTTTCATAAAACTTTACTGAGGTTTGAAAACGTTTAACCAAAGATGTACAGTTTAGTCTGATTTGAAATCTGACACAGTCCGTTAAATAAATAGCAATGCTTTTCTCACACTTTTCTTGCAGTTTGCCAGATGTTGATGCCGAAAAGTTGAGCCTGGATCCTGACAGCGTCTCTTTCATGGAAACCCTAGTCTTAAAAGAGCTTAGCCAGGAGGGCCTGCAGAACGGTTTTAGTCCCACCTCCACTAAGGAGGACTACTCGGACGACATCGGCGGCCAGCAAAGCCGGACAGATGAGGCCACACCACCAAAAGAGATTTGCCCAGTGGGATTACACAAAGCTGTTCTACTGTATCCTCCCAGGGCACAGCCCCATTGATTTGTTGCCTCTCACCTTCGCATAATTACATTTTTCGTAGCTTTTTTTAGATATTTTGTGCCAGATGAAAATGCATATGAGCTTAACTCCGGCTGCACAGAAATGAAGTCCTGCAGACGGCGTACAGCGATACCTTCCTCCTCCCACATCTAAAGGATCTCTCCTCTCAACATGTTGTTGTCAGTAACCACTCCCTAATGGTCCGCGTCTTTTAAATATTCCATTCAGTATTGATATTGGATTCAGTAGCAGTTGTGTCTCTCTTCTTTTGTCATCCAATCAGCTTTTCCTTCAGTACCTGCATTATCTCTACCTACAATATACCCACCATGATGTGTCACAGGAAAACGGCTTCAGATCACCAAGCCTGCATCAGGTTTGTACTGCAACTGACCTGGCAATTAAGATGGTCATGCTTGAGTAAACTTCCTAGTTCTTTATATACAGAAAGCGCTTACTACAATACCAAAATCATAAATGCATAAGAGGAATCCCACAAATCTGATTTTCCTGTTCAAAAGGATTCCGTCTTTAACCCTTTGCTCACTGTGTTTGATCATAGATCATGGATTGGATTTGTATGCTGTTGGATGCCCATTTTACAGTTCTAGTGATGACTCCGGAGGCCAAAGACTTACTGCTGAACCTCCACCGTTCCGTGCAGTTTCAGGTAACGGTTTACGCTTTTTTTGCGTTTCTGTAACCATCTTAAGTTGCCCACTTCTGCCATTTCAAGTGTGACTTTTCTTTGGCTGGCAGGTGAAGGTGTTTTCAGAGCTCGGGAAGATTGAAGGCAGCCTCCAAGTACTCAAAAAGATGAAGGCAAACAGGGACGTTGGACAATACTCCATAGAAGTAATTGAGCTGTTTTAGTAAAAAAGTGTACAGAAACATTTTTAAAAATCCAACTCTCAATTTTCAGATAAAGATGGTGATATATTACAGTGCTTTTTGGCACAGATGTTGCCTGTTTAAAGGGTCGACTGTTTCACAAAAAATCCTCATGTAACTGCCTTTTGTAAAATTGTTGAATCTCTTGTATTTTTGGTGTGTTTGCATGTTGGATTCGCAGTTCACACATTTTCAAATGGTTAATTATGCGATAGTGAAATGTATGAAAAAACACTTTGTACAACAAAATTGTAACAGTTTTTTTACTTTTAAATTTCAGTTAGTCTGTGTTATTTGGTGTATGTATGTGTCAAAACACAGCGGAATATTTGTAAATCTGTCAAAGAATATATCAGGAGGGGGGATCATTTAGATGCCATTTTTTTATTAAAAGCTGCTGTCAAATTCCAGCCCAGTGAATGGATTTTGGACCCAAAAAAGTTGTAATGTGTTTATTGGTATTTGTTGTTGGATATAGATCAAAAGAAAAACATGTGGTTATATTTGTCTGTTTTTTTAATTGGAATGGATGAGCTTTGTTATGTGGAGGTAATTATAGAGGAAGAAAAAGTGTTCATAGCCAGAATATAAATATTCACCTATCGGAGAGAAGAGATTTCAGTTAATTGATGCCATTTACTGTATTTACTGTCAGTATCAGCTTTACAATTTGCAAATACAGCGAGGAAAATAAGCATTAGAAAACCCTGATATTTTGCAAGTTTTCACACTTAGAAGTCATGGAGGGGTCTGAAATGGTCATCGTAAGTGCATGTCCACTGTGAGAGACATAATCTAAAAATATATATTTTTTTTAAATCCAAAAATCACAATGTATGATTTTTTAACTATTTATTTTCAAAATGCAACTGCAAATAAGTATTTGAACACCTACAAAATGTTTGGTACAGTAGTCTTTGTTTGCAATCACAGAGGTCAAACATTTCCTGTAGTTTTTTACCAGGTTTACACACACTGCAAGAGCAATTTTGGCCCACTGCCCACTCCTCCACACAGATGTTCTCTAGATCAGTCAGGTTTCTGGGCTGTCGCTGAGAAACACGAAGTTTGAGCTCCCTCCAAAGATTCTCTATTGGGTCTAGGTCTGGAGACTGCCGAGGCCACGCCAGAACCTTCATATGCTTCTTACAGTGTCACTCCTAGGTTATCCTGGCTGTGTGCCTCGGGTCATTGTCATGGTGCAAGACCCAGCCTCAACCCCTCTTCAGTGTTCTGAGGGAAGGAGGTTTTTCCCCAAAATCTCGCAATACATGGCCTCAGTCAACCTCTCCTTAATAAAATGCAGTTAGCCTGTCCCATGTGCAGAAAAACACCCCCAAAGCATAATGCTACTACCCCCAATGCTGCACAGTACAGGATGGTGTTCTTGGGATGGTACTCATCATTCTTCTTCCTCCAAATACGGTTAGTGGAATTATGACAGAAAAATTCTATTTTGGTCTCATCTGACCACATGACTTTCTCCCATGACTCCTCTGGATCTTCCAAGTGGTCATCGGCCTTGACATGTGCTGGTGTAAGGAGGTGAACCTTCCACGCCATGCATGATTTCAAACCATGATGTCTTAATGTATTACCAACAGTAACCTTGGAAATGGTAGTCTCAGCTCTTCTCAGGTAATTTTTTCACCAAGCTGTTTGGCAAATTCCTCGTAGCCCTTTCCAGCCCTGTGGAGGTGTACAATTTTGTTTCTAGTGTCTGTGGACAGCTCTTTGGTCTTGGCCATGCTAGTAGTTGGATTCTTACTGATTGTATGGGGTGGACAGGTGTCTTTATGCAGCTAACGACCTCAAACAGGTGCATCTAATTTAGGATAATAAATGGAGTGGAGGTGGGCATTTTAAAGGCAGACTAACAGGTCTTTGAGGGTCAGAATTTTAGCTGATAGAGAAGTTTTCAAATATGTATTTGCAGCTGAATCATACAAATAAATAGTTAAAAAATCATATATTGTGATTTCTGGATTTTTTTTAATCATATCTTTCACAGTGGATATGCACCTATGATGACAATTCCAGACCCCTCCATGATTTCTAAGTGGGAGAATTTGCAAAATAGTAGGGTGTTCAAATTTTCCTCAATGTATTTCAAATTGTTAAGGGACTCCTTAAGACTCTGAAACGACTTAATATTTTGACTAACAATTAGAAACCAACGAGTATGTTAAAAGACATTTAATAATTTAGGAAAACGTGGTTACGATTGTAATCCTTAAGAGAAAATGAAAATAAATGTTGTTTCGTTGTCGGCAGGATTCGAACCTGCGCGGGGAGACCCCAATGGATTTCTAGTCCATCGCCTTAACCACTCGGCCACGACAACACGCTGCAAATACCTACAAAAACGCCACCAGCCGGCCTAGACCGTTTTGTGGACGAGGGGTTCGTAAATATCTTTTACGAATATCTTTTCTTTTATTAAAGCACGTTTCCAACTGCCCTAATGTAAAAGAATAAGCCATTTAAATTTAATACCGCCCCACCAACCCCAAAACACATTGACTTATGTGGTTAAGAAATCCTGAGTGTTAAAACACAAAACTTAATAAAGACCTTATTATCGTAGTTATTTTCCAAATTTGAGAGTTATTATTCTACATATAAATGACACGGATGATAATTTTATATAAAATAGGATGATTAATTGATCTTCTCTTTTACAAATGAATAAATTAGCAGTATTAATTTCTAAGACTTCTTATCAATGTGCAGAGCTCTCTGTCCGACGTATTATCTGTGACGATAATGGCGGCAGTACCGGAAAAAAACGACGAAGGTTCACTACATTCACTTGACCCACCTGTGATTAAGACTAGCCACTTCAAGCGGCAAATGCTAATTTAACCCCACTAGCACCCAGGGTTCGAACCAACTACTAATTTTATGAACTACGGCTATTGCGTCTATTGTAGAAAAGTGTCACGTGATCTCACATCGATTCAGGCCTGCCAGTATGAACTACACTGGAGACTATTGCATTTCCGGTCTTGCAAAAAATGCTTTGAAACGAAAACGTTGGAGGCCTGTCAGTGAATGGTTTATTCTACTAAAGTAAATTGTAATACTTATGTTGAATCTGTTATATGGTAAATCATAATATGCAAACAACTTTATTTATTATTTGGATGTAAGACGTGTTTACTTTGAAGGAAAGAATGGCACGTTTCCGGTTCAGACTCGCTACCAGAGTCTAACTTCACACAGCTCTGAGGCCTGCTGTGTTTTCAACGGAGGGAGAGTCGAGAAGAAAAATGGCGTCTGCAGGCGACCCAGAGCGGGACACTGGCCATTCAGTTTGAGCTTTCCGCCTTGAAATTGAGACCGGGGCTTGGCGGGGACCAATCGGGAACCGTCGTCAGACCCGTTATTTTTTTCCTCCCCGTTTTTCTCCCGTGTGCGTGGCTTTTTCCAGCACCGAGATTGAAGCGGAACATAAGAGCCTCCCTCCTACAATGAGGGGAAGAAGAGGAAGGCCGCCCAAACAAGCAGCCGTGATGCGGGAAGGTTCACCCGGGACAATCCGGGGCTCGCGGGGCGGCAGGACTAGGGGGATGCGCGGACGGGGACGAGGGAGAGGACGGGGCCGGGGGCGGGGAGGAAGTGGAGGCGTTTGCAGCATTGGCTCTCTGGAGGTGGATGCAGAAATCTCCGGGCGAGAGAACTTTCATTCGTCTCGGGGCCGCAGGAAAGTTGGAGCCTCCACCGCGGCGGCTGCAGCGACATCGCGGGGCAGAGGGAGCAGAGGCAGAGGCAGGGGGTCGAGAGGCGGCCGCGGCAGCAGAGGCGGGGTGAAGCGGCCTCAAACCAAGGTGGTCTACGACGACAACAGCGACGAGGAGGACGACAATTTAAGCTACCGCTCGGACGAAGACGAACTTAACGACAACCCGTCGTCGGGTCTCGAAGATGAAGAGGCCTTGGGAAACGAATCTGATTATCTGGAGGACCTACCGGATGATGAGGATGCCAGCTACTGTACGGAGAGTAGTTTTAGGAGCCACAGCACGCTCGGGAGCACCCCAGGTACGTTCGCTGGCAAGTGCACGAGGTCGAGCAAAGCGGGCTAAGCGTTACTGAAAGTGTGGGTTTTATTTTTAGCTCAGTACAGAAAGCAAGCGGCATTGTTCAAAATGGAGCTTGCACTCAGAAACGGGCCTTTGTTTACCGTGTGCTCCGCGGTCCCCTGTCTTGCGGGTCGGCTCCACGCTTCCACCGGCTGGGTTTCCCCACTTCTGTCAGATCAGCACATTTTTGTTGTCATTTTTTTTTTTGTCGTGGATTCTGAATCATTTGTTTGCAAAAGAAACAAACGCGTGGCGACTTTCTTCGTTGCTTTCTATTCATTTCATTCATTCAGTTTTTTTTTCTTTTTTTACTTTTTCACATTACCTGTAGTTTCTGCTGTGCAAACCACCACAAAGCACGTGCTCTGGCAAAGTTTATTTCAGCTGCAAACGAATACACATTTATGCAGCTTAGTCTTAATTGAACTGTGTTTCGTAATAAAGCTGTTATGTCTTAGTTATAGTTGTTAATTTTTTTTTTGTCTTCATCGTCTTTGGACGTGCAGTGTCAGATTTGGAGGCTGTATTTGTTTATCTTTTTTCGTTGCGTAATGCCCCAAAATGAGTTTGAGGCATGTGTTTTGCAGAGAAGCGCTCTTCTTTTCACTTGTTGCAAACACTAAATAATTATGCAGAGCATCGTTTCCATAGCAACAACTCCATGTTTATCAGGTGTTGAAATTAATATCTCACCCATCGACAGTTTTGGATAGCCACGTTAATAAGGGCTAGTCCTTTGACACATCTTCTATTTAACACAATGCATTATGAGTTGGATGCTTACTGCTGAGAGTTCATCCACACAGGATTTTAATGATGATAATGTGAGTGTTAATTACTCTTAATGTGATTCAAACCTGAATGTTGTTTCCATCCAGATCTGTGGACCCACAACACCCCATTAATGTGGCATCAAATATCTGCCCTTTTCTGATTCTTGGGATGCTTCCTCTTGAAACTGGCTTTTATTTATGTTCTGCTCCTTTATTAAATATCCAGCTTCATAGCTATCAGGTTTGGCTTGGATTTAGTTAAGGTGTTTTAGCCCTCACACACATTCCTCCACTTCAAGTGGCCATGCTTTCATATTTTTTTATGGATGTGTCCACGGGAGCATTGCCAAGTGTGTTTCACTTGTATATGGCTGATATTTCTAAGATACTTCTGGGCACACACCCGTTTCCCCTCACTGTGTTCAACACTAAAGCTGCTGTCAACCCATATCTGACCCATCAACTGTTATATATATTTTTTTTAAGAGCCAGGTCTACTGCTGCCGATATTTAACTGGTAGCTCAAGGAGGACCTTCTATAGAATTGCCCTTTAAACGATTAACTGCCCTCTGTCTGTTTGTATTGCCTGCAGAGCTAACACAAAAGAATTCTGAATTACGGTCAGTTAAATGTGTTTCGAAGGTGTTCGTTCCCAAAAATGGAAAATTAAGGTTATAACCTGCCTCTCCAGTAATGCCACAGAATCTCAGATTAAAGCAGATAGTGGAAAATCAATGTATATATATATATATGCACATAGTGGCAAACATTTGGCTTTCTTCATTATTTGTGTTGTGAGGTCAACTGTGAGAATATAATCCATTCAAATCAGACACAAATCCTTATTTGCTTCTCATTATTGAACTTAACTGCTTCCAGAAATGGAGGATGTGCACAGACAGACACAGCCTCGTAGGTACAATATGGATGCTAAAACATTTGCATGCCTGTCACACGGTGAAACATGTGAAGTGTATTCAAATGATTTTATCAATTTCACAATTATCAGATAGCTCCATTTGATGATTGCTATGACTATGCACATTGTTATGTTATTATTATGTTTTTTGTGCAATTTGTAATGATTCATTCTGTGAGCATATTAATTTATTCCATCAATATTCAGGTGTTGAGGGTCCCCTTTTAACTAAAGCTTTTCTATTGCGGTATGTTAGCCTTCTGCCCCTTTCCTGACCTTTTCTTTCATATGTCACAGGCCGGAAAAGGAGCAGGCCCTTGCGACCACGTTCTCCTATCCTTGAGGCAAAGGACATCCCTCCCCTGGAGCTTCCAAAGACCTCTGAGGACCTCTTGGTCCCTGCCTCACAGCTCCTCAATGTGTCTGCTGTCTACGAGGTCCTGCGTAACTTTGGCACCGTCTTGCGGCTCTCCCCCTTCCGCTTTGAGGATTTCTGTGCCGCCCTCGCCAGCCAGGAGCAGTGCACGTTGCTGGCAGAGACCCACATCTCATTGCTTAAAGCTATTCTCAGAGAGGAGGACACTTCAAATACCACATTCGGTCCTGCTGATGTGAAGGACTCCGTCAACTCCACCCTGTATTTTGTGGATGGGATGACCTGGCCGGAGGTGGTGCGGGCGTACTGTGAGAGCGACCCGGAGTACCGGAACATTCTGCCTCTCCAGGAGAACGAGGATTACCCGTACGAACCGCTGGAGAGCAAAATTAAAGTCCTTCAGTTTTTGGTGGATCAGTTCTTGGCAACGAACATTGCCCGGGAGGAGCTCATGTCCGAGGGGGTGGTTGCCTACGACGACCACTGTAGGGTGTGCCATCGCCTTGGCGACCTGCTGTGCTGCGAGACCTGCTCAGCTGTCTACCACCTGGAGTGCGTGAAGCCGCCGCTGCAGGAGGTGCCGGAGGACGAGTGGCAGTGCGAGGTGTGCGCGGCGCACAAGGTGCCCGGCGTGGCGGACTGCATCCCCGAGGTGCAGAAGAGCAGGCCTTTCATCCGGCAGCTACCAGTGGGCTACGACAGACACCACCGTAAATACTGGTTCCTGAACCGGCGGATTGTCATGTAAGTGTTCAAATAACTGTGCAGGATTCACAGCATGCAACTTACATGGTTTTGCTCACAAGTGAGGAAGAAAATATTTTTCTTACATGTTTTTGTTTGGCTCTTTCAAAGCTGATCATTAAACTATTTTTACGTTAACTTTTTACGTTAGTTAAGATGCACAGGGGACCTTAGTCAAAGTTAGATTTACAGAACAGGTAATACACGATCATGGAGGTCTAACGTCTAGAGTGAAGCTAATAGTTTCTAAAGGTTCGCCACCAGCTCTGGTGTATCTGCACACTGGCGGGTTTTGTTGGAGCATTTAGAGTCTTAAAACATCGCCTGGTCATCAGCAGTGCTGGCCCTGAACATTACTTTATGATAATGCTATTGAGCTGTCGCAGGTGGAGTGTGTCTGTGTGTGCCGCCTCAGCAGTCTGCCACATAAACCGTAACCAGAGACAATTCAGCCAAACAATACAAGATTTATAAGAGTAGAAGAGAGTTTTTGATTTCTTCCTCTCCTCTTCTTTGGCTTCATGTTACTCACTAAGATAACCCCAAGCAGGTGCAGAGTGTCCTGTCTTTAGTCTTGTCCTTCTAAGGCTTAGCATTTGCATTTACAAGTAGTGTGCATGAGAAAAAGTTTGTTTTTACTTGTCGTATGCAGCACAGTGAGTGTGATTTTGGAAGGCTGCTGAATTCCCACCACTGTTGTTGCATGGCTTCTGGGTTTACACTCTTTAGGCTACGTCCACTTTTGTAGCAGCTGCTGCAGGACTGCTGGGTCTTTTTATGAAGCACAGGTGCAACCGGCTTACAGGATAGGCCTCTTTTCGTCTCCAAACATCCCAAAATCTCAGTCTTTTCAGATATATTGAGAGTGTAATCCAAAGATTATAAAGCAGAATAATTCTTTTTAGAAATCCAGTAAAAAATCTGTCAACCTATGAATGCGTTTTAGAAAGGAGATTCATTGAATTTAATTTCACCATTCTGCCCCTTTGTAAGTAGTTAATGTTATCATTTTTTCACTGAACAGAAAACCTATCATAGATATTGCTGAAAGCCAAACAAGTTCACTGGTTATGAAATACTTTTCTTCTTGAATACAAAAGCAGAGTAAATGTTTCTGGAGATAACTCAAACAAAAACCAACATATGAAATTTGTGTTCAATTTGACCGAGGCTTTCTGGCTTAAGTTAATCAGGTAGACATTATCATCACTGGGGCAGTAGCTTTACTCAAAGGAATATGTTGAATTTAAACCCTTTGATTACCTCAGAACAGCTATGACCTGTTTGCAATCAGCAGGGAAATACGATAACCTAAAAACAGTGGACACATAGGTCTGCTGCTCGAAAGGAATTCCAACAAACCAATTAATGCCACAGCCTCAGTTGCTGTAACAGCAATCGTATGGTCGCCATCATGATCACAGCAACCAGGGGACCAGAGGCAGTTAACACAGAGAGGGCAAATGAAGATAAAGTGTCATACTCGAGTGTTCCGTTACCACAAGTGTCTGTAGAGCTCTACTGAGTAGATGGAGCCCCATTCTTCAGAGAAAAGGGCTCTTAAGGTGTTTGCTTAATGATAGAGAATGCTTCCCATACGAGTTGGAGTGGGTGATGGCATATAATTCTTCACATTATCGTACTCGGCACATCAGAGCTATATGGACGTTGCATTCGGGAAAAATACCTTTCTGATCAACTGTATTACGAAAGGTTTATCATGATTTTAAAAACTGACTGGTTGCTTCTTACTCGTTTAACCAGAATGGTTAACTTCTAAGACGACCCTATAAAGCTCAGCAACTATTATTATTTATTATTTAGACCTTTATGAGAGCACGGTGGTATCCTGCACCTGACAGTGTTACAGTGTAAAACATTAGTTTCTTCTTTCAGACTGTTTATTTATTTATCTATTTATTCAGGTGTTTATTCCCCTTTGTAGCTTGTCTGCAACTCCAAAGGTCTCAAAATGCCTTCATCCATGTGGAGATAGTTTGGTTATGTAGGCCACAACGTGGGAAGAGGAAGCACATACAGTGCCTCAAAAAAACAATTCCTATCCTCAAACTTCTTATTCGAGTTCTGAGTAAAAGGTGAAAATGCGTCTCGCATCAAGAAATGTGGAAACAAACATGGTTAAATGATGCCAGAGAGCAGACAGACAAAAATGAAAATGAAACTTTCTCCGGTTTTATTGTCTTTGATTGTTTTATTTTCTTGCACTTGTTTAGTGTTTTTCCCCTAACTGATACGTTTTGCTCACAGCGAGGAAGACGGGGAGCAGGAGGACAAAGCCATCTGGTACTACAGCACCAAGGTAGGCGTTGTCACAAACCCCCTCTTTCTAAATATATGTGCCAGCTTCCCTTTTTATTTGCCAGTTGCTCAAACAATTAGGGGATAGTTTTTTTTGTGTTGTGTTTTCTCAATTCTCCATAAACTACTCTTCCCAGGTTCAGCTCGCTGAGCTGATAGACCGCTTGGATAAGGACTACTGGGAGGCCGACTTGTACGCAGCCATTGAGGAAATAAGGGATGAGGTGCACTCCCACATGGATATCACTGAGGACCTAACCAACAAGGCTCGTGGCAGCAACAAGTGTTTCCTCACGGCTGCGAATGGTGAAAAACCTATTCTTCTTTCTTGTTTAATTCCAAATCTTAGACACTCACAGTAACAGACTATAATTAAAGCTTAGATAGGGATCTCTTGAGTCCCAGAGTTGCTTTCCTTCTTTGTGTGTGTGTTTATCTTCTCCCTTCTCATACATGCCTCTTAGCAGGGATGATGAATGCCACCCAGTCATACATGGCCAGGCCATAGGAATCAACTCCGTTATTATGTAACCTTACTCTGGGTCCAGTCTGGCCCGAGTCCAACACCTGCTGCTCCCCTCAGCCCCTTATCCCCTCCTTTCTGCATGTGGGATAACCGCAATCTGGTGGTCTGTTTAAGCCTGCTTTGTCTGCAAAAGTGATGCACATCGTAGCACATAGCCTTAGCATTTTAGTGCTTATTTAACCGGAGGGAGAAAGATTTTAGGAAATATGCTCAATAACCTGCAGCAACGGCTACCATCTTGTGCAGGTCCTTTTCAGTTACAGGACACACCTATTATGTCAGTCTGTGCCAACACACAGTGCTACAATCATTCAGCAGGTCTTTAGCTCGATTTAGATTAATTGAACAACACTGGAGTGAGCAACAAAAAAGTGACTCCAAACTACCTTAACTTTTTTTCCTTTCGACAATAGTACCCAGATTCTTAATAACTACATGGAATTTAGTGCTGTGTGACTAATGACTTCCTTGCTGGTTTTGAATGAAATCATCTCCTTTCCTGTTCCAGATGAGATCCTTGAGAAGTTGCGGGCTAAGAAGGAGGAGGAACTGGAAGAGGTTAAGAAACGGGCTGCTGAGGAGGCCCAGAAAGCACGGCTGGAAAAGGAGAGAAAAGAAGTAGACGTGGAGGAGGAAGATGAAGAGACCAAGGTGACAGCGGAGGGACAAAAGATAAATGATCTGATAAAGGAAGAGCAAGAGATAAAAGAGGAGATTACGCAAGATAAAAGAGATGGAGTCAAAACTGGAGGTAAATGTATTTAGATTTCACAAAATTATAAGAATATGACCAAATGACGCCTTAGACGTGAAGGTTTATCTGATTCTTGGTACCTTATCTTGTTGTTCTTTTGAGACTTTCTGATAAACGAAATCACCCCGATGGTATTTTGGGTAATTGTTTGAAAAAATCAGTGTCACACATGATTGGTTCTTGATTCCAAGAAGACGCTCCGGTGGACTTAGTGACTGATTTCAGAATGATTTATTATTTATTTATTCTCACCAGCCAGGCTTTTATCCTTTTTTTTCTCTCCAACTCGCCTTTGCATTATCAACCATATTCTAAATATTGCTGCTGTCAATCTGTAGTTGGTGCTGCTCCACCCACTGACCAAGAAGGTGGTAGTGGCAGTAGCACGAAAGACGGATCCATACCCCCGGAAATGTCCTCTGCAACACAAAGCTCTGCTATGAGCTCTAGTCCGGCCGCCACATCTCCAAAGCTCCCTGCTTCCTCTGTGGAAGCTCGGATAGAGGGATGTTCCCCTGTGGAGGTGTCTAACAACAATGAAGGTATATACGCACCTTTGAGAGTAGAACTGCCTTCGTTGAGCCTTCTTTGGGAATCTGCACTGGACTCATATTTAGGCTTTATGTCACCATATCCCTGCGTGATCTCAGTCGTGTCTAAGCCTTCTTCTTTGCATGTGGCTTTCATTCCACCTCTGGCTTTTGTGTTCAGTTCACATATTGTTATTTCTTGAATTGAAGCTTCAGCTGTTGACCCTGACAGTCGTTCTGCACTTCAACTTTTTTGTTGACTCTTTGGTTTTTCATTAAAGAGCAGCAACGCTGATTTCATTTCATTGGGTTGCACTGGCATGGTACTGTCTCCATAGTCTGCATGACTAAAGTGGAGCCCCAGACTGCCGTGGACCATGTTCATATCGCGAAAAACCTTTCTTCTGTTGCTTGCCTGTAACTGATGCATATTTTGAACCTCTTCTGCTTGGTTATTGCTTCTGTTGAATAAATGGTGTGGAGGATGATACGCTCACTGTGCAACAGACCTTCCACATGCATTATTGTGTTCAATAAGATTGTATGTGCAACAAACTTTTTAAGCTTTGTCTAAACCTGCTTGGTCGCGCATCGATGTGAAGCTATCCATCCATCCACATGTTTTTGGTGCATGCATAATACATGAGTTATCAGCAGAGGGCGCTACAGGCTTTTTTATATAGCAAAGTGTATTAAGCCACTAATACTAGGTTGTTACTTTTACACACACACACTTATGTATTCATAATGTCAGTTTTTGTAAACATATTTTGTGTAACTCTATGATTTAAACGTTAGCTCCTGAAAGCGAGAACAGCTCAGCAGAAAGTCGTGAGCCTCATTTATGTGGCGATTAGTACTAGGACCGATTCTCTGAATGTGTAACAGAAAACTCATCCTCAGATTCCATCCCCCCATGTGGCGATGGTGTTTCAGGCCTGAACCAACCGTGCCAGCCCTGCGAGGAGAACAGCAACTGCAGCATAGGAACTGGTGTCCTTCCCGGTGGTCCTGAACCCCCAGACTTGGCTGACAGGTCTTCCCAATCATCCATGGCAAGCCTTGATGACACAGGTCTTTTATTTACTTTTTTTACAACATTAAAATTCTGTCAAAAATTTGCTGTATGCAGCATATCCTCTGGGTTAGAGTAGTCATGTGTAAATTGTAAACTGTCTCAACAAGGCCTGACAACCTGTACAGTTTACGTTACAGCTGCTTTTGAGTTGTTGCCCTTTTATACATTCATCATACAGCTTTGACATGGGTAGGTTTTCACCATTATATCCTCTGTGAAATGTCTTTGCATGTGCAGGGGACAGTAAAGACTCAACAAACGGCGACATGGCAGGTCCCGGCAGCAGGAAGTCCTCAGCAACTCGAATGGTCACCCGACTGAGGAACCCAGAGAGCAAGCTGAGTCAGCTGAAAAACCAGCAGGTCGCTGCTGCCGTTCATGAAGCCAACAGGGGGTTTAAGGAAGGCAAAGAGGTGGGAAGCATTAGATGAGAGGACTTAGCTTCTTCTGACAAAGCTTTTTACAAAAAAGAACAATGATTAGATAAAGGACCATAAAGTACTTATTGCAGCTAGTTTGATGGTAACTGTATTTAGGTTCCTAATGATGACAGCTTAGTTTGGCTCTCATTTGTGATTACCTCTGTAGGTACTGGTAGTAAATGCACAAGGAGACATCACCCGTGTCAGCACGCGCAGCAAAGACGTGGTGATGAAGGGGACCCTCAGCCAGTACTTCAAGCTTGGTCAGGAGGGCAAGTACAGAGTCTATCATAACCAGTACAGCTCCAACGCTCTGGCCCTCAACAAGCACCAGCACAGAGAGGCAAGTAGCATGTTTGGTTATCGTCTCTATTTGTCACCATTTCATCTGGATTTCCAGGATTTTATCTTGTACACTTCAAGGATAATTAAAAATATATATATATTGCCAAAGGATTTATTTAAATTTGGAGTGAATGGAGGATTTAAAGTTGTTCGTACCCTGAATGACTGTCTGTGTGTGTCACAGAGGGTAAACTCTGAATTCATTAGTGCCGCAGCTTTGGAAAGTTATTTGTTAGTTGTTGGAAAGTACCCCAGGACTTCAGGATGCTTAACGTGTTTTTCCACGTGTTTTTCTTTAGGACCACGACAAAAGGCGGCATCTCTCCCATAAGTTCTGCATGACACCTGCAGGGGAGTTCAAGTGGAATGGGTCCATTCATGGCTCTAAGGTGCTCACCATCTCCACGTTGAGACTCACGATCATCCAGCTTGAGAACAATGTTCCAGCTCCATTCATGCACCCTAACTGGTCCTCCCATAGGTAAGAGTGGAGAGCTGAGGAGTCAAAATGACAACTGTTTTTAGCTTTGTGCATTGATAATATGTGTTTGTTTGTTTTTTTAAACCACATATCATTTTCTGTCTATTGACTTAAGTTGTCTTTTGAAAAGTGAATCGGTTTGAAGACAAAGGTTGTTGTTTGTTTTTTTGGAAATAATAAAAGTCAGGGATGTTGCAATTCAGTTCACATCAAATCGACTCTTACCTAACTAAGAATTAACAAGACAAAAAGCAAGACAAATGGGGAAAAAATAACAATGGAAACCAATTGAAGTGTGTGCAATGTTTCATTGTTTGTTTTGTAGGACCAATTGGATCAAAGCTGTTCAGATGTGCAGTAAGGCCAGAGAGTTTGCACTGGCTCTGGCCATCCTGGAGTGTGCCATCAAACCTGTGGCCATGCTGCCTGTCTGGAAAGACTCACTTGGTCACACCAGGTAAATAAATACGACACGTTATAGTTGAGTATGTATCGTATTCATTATGCAGGTAGTGTGATATGATTTTCTTAACAGAATTTAGAGACAAAAATGAGAAATTACTTTTAAAAGTCAACCATGCATTCAGTGCATGTAGGTTGGGGGATGTGCACCCAGTTTAGTAGGCAGAGAGGATCATAACCAGATCGGATCAAAAGGCCCACCCTAGCTGTGAGGCATAATATTTGGATTGCAGGTCCACGACCAGCACCACCCAACTCTGCCTCTACTACCTCCTCAGCACCAGAAGGCCCCTTTAAAAGAGACGATTGTCCGAGATTTCACAAACTTAGGGCCGGAGTGTGTGTGTGTGTGTGTGTGACTGAACTATAAGCATCAAAGCAAGTAAAGGAGAAACCCACATTCAGAGACTTGTTTGACAAGTTTGTATGGTCGTGTTTTATAGAGCTGTTCCAGAGGCAAATCGTTTTCTTCATCTCACATCAAGTTCTAAATCATACTGCAATGCCAAGTTTCAAAACTGGTAATTGATACAGGAGTTTTTTCCAAATAGTTGAAGAAACAGGGGGAAAAAGTGATTACAAGTTTTTTTTTAAGCAACAGTGTTGTCTGTACAGCACACTGCAAGGGCAATTTTAGCCTCTATGTTTTTTGGAGATTGTCCAGAAATAACATTCTGCCACCGTAACTGATGAACTGCAGGGTTTAATGAAAACTCTTTCAAAAAATCTTTTCAGGTTAAACCGCATGACATCCATGGAGCGCGAGGAGAAAGAAAAGGTGAAGAAGAGAGAAAAGAAGCTGGAAGACGAGGAGATAATGCAACAGGCAACCTGGGTCAAATACACCTTTCCAATTAAGCACCAGGTAGATCTCATATGGACAAATAGCAGTTAGCATGCATGCTGTATTACTATGCTGATTACTCCCCTGGAAATCTCTTTTGTTTGCATCCGATTAAGTGTCTGTTTGTGTAGTACAACCACTAAATTATCCTGATCTTATGTCTGAACCAATATGATGTAAAACCAACTGATAAGAAGATGATGGTGATAATGGTGATTCAGTGTAATTTGTGTCTGGAAAATGAGCAATTTCAGTGGAAAACATTGCTGTGTATGTCTTTGTATGAGTGACCAATGAGGGTTCTTTGATACAGCAAGTCAGACATTCCTGTGAGTCATTTCCCCGAGCAATTAGTGATGAAGAACTTCTAAAGATTTAGACTCCTTATATATTTCCAAGTAATGTTTTCGTTGTATTATTATTTACATTTTTACCATTGGAACCCGTTTGTTCTTCACTCTTTCTGTGAAGGTGTGGAAGCAGAAAGGAGAGGAGTATCGTGTTACGGGCTATGGGGGCTGGAGCTGGATCAGTAAGACTTATGTGCCGCGGTTTGTCCCCAGACTTCCAGGGAACACCAATGCCAACTACCGCAAAGAACTGGAAGGTATGGAGCAAGAGACTAGCAAGTGTTCTTAATAATTCATACCGAGGTTTATGTAAATCCAGGATTCAGTTGTCACAGTGGTGTTATTGTCTATGGACCGTAAAATAAATCTCTTGATCGCGCAGTTGTTTGTTATAATTCTCAAAGAATGTTAAAATGTTGATTGATCATGATATTTAAAGAAGGCTTCCGTCACTTCATTAACCAAAAACACATCAACTGACTTACATGATTCTACAATTTTGTAGCATAAAAAGTAAACTACAACTGTTTTTCCAAAGATGCAAAACTTGGCAAGAAATGTACGCTGCTGGACCTGAGCAGACGCCTCAGTGTGACCTCAACAGAGGCTCGGGGCGATGAAACGAAAGATCAAGAGTCAGCATACTCCTCAAAGCCACTTACTGAAGATGTGGGGTCCACGGAGATGGTGGAAGAACAGAAAGAAGAACTGCATAAAAAAGAGACAAAGGAGCAAACATCAACAGATGAATCACCTGCAAAGATGGAAGTGGATCCTATAAACTCTCCACCAGAAGATCAGCAAAGTATTACATTTGTATAACGTTTTGAAATGTTTGTGGTCCAAAATTAAGCTTTTGTGTAGTCAATTCCTAACCCATTTTTTAAGGTAAAGGACAGAGAATGTTCGTGTACTTTTATTGAGACTATATTTTTTGGATTTGACTAATGTTCAGCCAAAAAATTTTCCATTATTAATACTTAAGACACTTTTTAAGATAATTTCTTAGACTCTAGATGATCTAAAGTCATAATTCCGTTTCTCCCCAGTGTCTGATATTCCTGAGGATAAAGCTTCCCTGAAAGTGGAAGCCACAGATGATGCTCTGCGGCCTTTCAACTACGATGTCGTTGATGTCAGCAAAGGTTTCCTCACCCGCATTCCCTACAAGAGGAAGGTGAAGACCTCCAAGCTGGACAGCCTGCTGGAGCGCAGAGTCAAACAGCACGTGATCGAGGAGAGGCAACGGCAGCAGGTGTCTGCATCCAAACCTCTGGGACCTACAGCAGTTTTGACATGCTCGGGCCCTACCCTGAGCACTCCTGTACGGCCGAGGTCGCCGCTCAAGCCCCATGCTCTGGCACAGACACAGCTGTGTGAAGCTTTGAGCGTGGAGGAGAAATCTTCCATGAGACAAAGTCCGAGAGTACAAGAGGAAGCAGAAAAAGGCGCCAAACTCTCTAACGCATCCCCTTCCCCTGTTTCAGACTCCATACCTAAAGACAATTGCAGTTTAGGTACTGGGAAAGATTCTGATTCCCCACAAAATCCAACCACCTCCATGCCCCAAGGGGTGGAGGACAGCTCAGCTGAAAGGACTACGGGGCCAAAGGAAACTAGTTCAGACAGTTCAGGGCAGGAGGGTGCCGGGCAGCCTGATGGGCCAGCCATGGCAGCTGGGGACGTTGACAGCTCTTCAGAGCCACACTGTGTTGCATCAGATGCAACACAGGCGGAACAATCGGAAATTACCGGGTCAGACCCTGTAAGGACACTTTCAAGTATTATTGACCAAAAAAACAGTCAAAACGCATCTCTTTGCAAACCTGTAGAGCAAAACCCAGAAACTCAAAGCACGGTGCAACCGGGCATGGAAGAAAATGGCTTAGAGCCAGAGGAGAGCCAAGAGAAATTGCAAGGTATTGGACATCACTTAAACCCTTCCGAAGCAGTCCCTCCTTTGCCTCAGGTGAATGGTAATGATCGCTTGGAAAGTGAAAGCATGCTGAGTAACTCTGTAATCAACTCAAATAATGGCGTGTGCAGCGACAGGCCCCAGCCCAAGTTGAACAGCATCGGTAAAGACGAAGAACAAAAGCTGATTGTCCCGTTGAAAGACAACACACTGCAAAAGCCTTTAGTGAATGGATCGGTTGTTGATGGTGTAGAGATTAAAGCAAACGAGTCAAGCGTAAGCTCTAAAGTAGAGGTAGAGGGTGAGGCCATACTGTCCGACCGGGATTACAAACCTCCACTGAAGATGACAAAGTTCGAAAACAACGTGGACAAACTTAGAGATGACACTCGGGGCATTATGCAGCAAAACAGCACCTCGGCTTTTCATTCTACGGCCGGCAAAGACAGCCCTCGGGTCAAGATCATAAGAATGGCCCCGTCTCCAATTCCTTCGGCCGAGGAGTCCAGTCTGAGTGACGACTTTACAGAGGAGAGCAGCAACAGTGGGTCAGCAGAGCCATTCAAGACCATCATCACCCAGGTAACTACAACCTCCACGACAACAGTGGTCTCCACTGAGACAGTGGTAGCCAAAGTGCCCCCGAAAGTATCTGGGGAGTCGAAAGCGCCTGTGGTGACGGCGGAGAGCAGTGCGGTGTCGACTCTCGCCACCATGACCAAAACAACAGTGACCAAAATCTGTTCCTCCGGACTCGATGGTCAGTCAGAAGACACCCAGAGTAATGAAGTCACTCAAGAGCAAAAGACCACGCTCTCTGCCTGTGTTAGTAAGTCAGCGACCGATACCCGCGGCGGGGTGTCGGTGTCATCGATCACCGTGAGCCAGGAGGACTCCTCGTCCACCAAGGGCCGCGTGCGACTCCTCCGATTCTGCCGCACCAAGAAGATGCGCTCCGACACAGCCCTTCCCTCCTACTGCAAGTTTGTCACCAAGAGCAGCCGCAGGAGTATTTTCGTGCTGCCTCACGACGACCTGAAGGTGTTGGCGAGGCGGGGCGGGTTCCGTGAAGTGCTGGTGTTCAGTTACAACGCCAAGCCGGCGCTGGATATCTGGCCTTATCCGTCACCCAGGCCCACGTTTGGCATCAGCTGGAGGTAAATCCACCATCTTATTTTATATTCAGCATTTTACTCACCGTGGGTGTACCACACGGCGCACTGTTGGTTTTTAAATATGGTAGGATGACAAGGAACTATTCACACTTACTGTCATTAGGGAATTAAAAACATTTAGACAACAAACACTTGTTTCCCTCTGAATGGTTGTGTTTGTCATTAGTAGCATTTGTACTTTTGGATTGTCTCTGTACATGTGTGTGTTTTTGCTTCAGTTCGAACATGCAGACCTGTGAAGAGGTTGTCATCGGCTTGTGCATTCGAGTTTTAAAGGCCCAATTTCTTCTTTGCTTATGTGAGAGCAGTGGATCTGACCCCAGAGTCAGAATCCATTCCCACCCAAATATTACTGAACGTCAAAGCACCTGCTGTATGATTTATCGTGCTCCAAGTGTATTCACCGTCCCCTAAACAAACTTTATGGTACATTCAAGATTTGTTCAAACCAACTATTTAGATCATACGGTTGCTTGGAAAGTGTTTATTGAGACTACAAATCTTATTTTGTCAGCTTTCACTCACTCACAGACCTTCCTCAACCCACCCACTAATCTGCTCTATGTTTTCTTATTCTAGTGTTGATCAGCAATCAGATACACACCTCTCTCGAACACTTTTTCGACTTAAAAAAACGTTTGCAATATTCGAAAGGCAACATCGTAGTTCCGTGTATTAGGTTCCCTCATTATCCACCTTTAACTGTTCTTTTTTCGCTACTGTGTTGGTCCTGTGCGGCTCTGTCCTCCATTATCTCTTCTCCTTTGCTGCCTGCCATTTGTGGCTTTGGCCCAGGGCGATGCTGTAGCTCCCAGTCTGGTGTCACACAGGGACCTCTGGTTATTTGGACCAGACCTCAGAGTTCCGAGGCAGACGTGAATCATTCGGTGGTCGGAGAGGTGTCATGATGTTCACTTTGTGTACTGACCAAGCCCTGAAACCCCGTGCATACTTTTCCGCCTGTGGTCACAACTGGGAAGTAGAATATCTAACAAACCCCATACACACTCAGAGCCTTGTGATGATCATGTTTGTGTAAATGTTTAGGATTTTTAAGTAACCAACGCCAAGCACCGCGTTCATTGTCGAAACAGCATTCTCGGCGATGTAGTGATGCAAGTAAAATGAATGTTTGGAGATGATTCATTGAAGAAAAACATCTTGTCATGTACATCTAAAAAGACCAAGTGACATGTGTCCAAGACTTTTCTTTGAAGTGCCGTTTGATGGGCTTTTTAGGGAGACACACTCTTGTTCCCACGTAGGGATTATTCAACGAAATGATTTATTAAAACTGGAAGCCAGTCATTCTGTTGGTTTCACAGAAACGGTCATGAATGGACTGCAGCCTTTCCAACAACCACAAGTCTGCTTTTCCTCCGCTCGCTGCTCTTCAATGGTTGTCCTGCAGTGTGTTTTCTGTAACTCTGAGTAATTGTGACAGCAGTGAACTGGACATCAAAATGCACACAGCAGACATTCCCGAATGTTCAGGAAGTGCTTGCCTGTATTATTTCCAACTAATACTCCCTTTGGGTGCTCCATCCAGGTATCGGCTGCAGACGGTGAGGTCTCTGGGGGGAGTCAGCCTCATGCTCAGGCTGTTGTGGGCTTGTCTGAGATGGGACGACATGGCGGTCAAACCGTCGGCTGCTGTCGGCACCACGCGTACAGGTAGACCCTCTACCCCTGCAAACCTTCCTGTAAAGATGTTGCTTAATGCCTCTTGAGAAATGGTTATTATTTATACATCTGCCATATTTAGGCAGCCGCCCATCCCTGTTATTGGTTGCGAACAAATGAACTGCTCTCAGTCTGACTGGAGCGTCACTTTACACTTGTTGGAGTGCATTTCGTCCATTTCTTTTCGGGCTCTCTTTTCATCACCGTACCAACCCAGCCCTATCCCCACTCATTGCCACAGAGACATCAGATACCGAAATCACCACCACAGAGATCATCAAGCGGCGGGATGTTGGACCGTATGGCATTCGCTCGGAGTATTGCATTCGCAAAATCATCTGCCCCTTGGGAGTGCCCGAGACGCCAAAAGGTGAAATGCACATTTCAGGCATCAGCTAATGAGCCCATCAGATTTGTTCAAGGATTTATGTTCAAATGCTTTATTCAGAATATTACCAGTTCCTATTGTTTATTGTAAAAAGTACTGAGAACTTCTGTATGGCTGTAGTTGTTTTATTTTACAAACACCAGTTGTAAACACCAACCGTTTGTTAACCTATCAAAAGCTTATGTGCTCACCTGTTTGATATTCCAGAAACTCACACCCCTCAGAGGAAGGGTCTGCGCTCCAGTGCCTTACGGCCCAAGAAGCCTGAACCCGCGAAACAGACGGGCCCCGTGGTGATTGAGTCCTGGGTGGCTGAGGAGGAGCTGGATCTCTGGGAGATAAGAGCCTTTTCTGAAAGGTCAGCACAGATAGTTTGCTGGATGTTTTCAGATAACTGGAATTTTTAAATGAATGTTGATCTAAAAGGTTTTCTCTGTTTTACAGGGTGGAGAAAGAGAAAGCTCTAGCAGCAGAGCAGGCAAAAGTAAGTTTGGTTTACATTAGCTGGCATCTGTATTAATTTTCCTCCAAAGTAAAAAAAAAATATATATATATATATATATATTTTAAATGATCTGAACCCTCAGAAGGATTTTTTTTGGTTTATTTATTTCAATAAACAATTGGTTTTTAAAGCTAAAGGGACAAACATAAATGATAATTTATTTTAATCAGGAAGTAAAGAAATAGTAATATGCTGGATTTTTTTTTTAAACGTGAGACTTTCCTGCCTGTCTGTGCTGACCACAACAATAACCTTCACAGAAGCGTCTTGAGCAGAAACCAGGGTCCATCACGGCTACTCCCACAGGCACTGCTTCAATACCTGCTGCCACACCCAAAGTCATCGTTGGTTCAATTTCGGGCCAGGGTACCCCCACCGCCAAAGTGGTGCTGTCCACTAAGATGGGCTCCCCAGTCACATTCCAGCCGAACAAGAACTTCCAACAGTCATTTGCCACTTGGGTCAAGCAGGGTCAGAGCACCCAAGGTACATCAGCACAGAGTCCAAAACCTCTAATAAGTTCACTGGTGTATTTCTCTGTTGTTGGTTTTCTTTTGTTGTGCATATAATTATGCTTTAAGACGTAGTCATTGGTAACATCAGTTTCACGTTGTATGCACACCAGCAACAATATTTTTTACTAAGCTTTTGTTTTTGTTTGCTTGATTTCTTAGTAGCAGGTGCAGAGACAACTGTGGCCACGTCAAGCGGACACACTTTACACATTACAGGAACTTCAGTCAGCGGAAAAGTCGTAACCACCAAGCTGCCTCTTCCTGCGAATAGCAAGATCGTCACAGTCAACGTGCCAAGTACACAAGGAGGTATGGCTGGTTTGAATAGGTTGTAGCTCAGACGTGAATGGAGGGTTCGTGTTACATTTAGTGAGTGGAGACATTTGTTTCCCTCTAAGCATTTCAGGATTATTGTTGTGTGACATATGAGACATTTAAGGTGTGTTAAAGAACTCGTATTAGCTCTGGCTCATTAACTGCATTGGAGGAAACTGCCAACTACAGGCAGGGCTTTAGAAAGACTGAGCATGTCGTAATTCATTTGAAATATTATTACAAATCTTAATGAACAGGTATACTTTTTTGTCATATCTAATATTCCAAAAAGTTGAGGTAACTATGGACTTCAAACTTATGAGTGAATATTTCTGTTTATCATTGTGACACTTTTGTTGTTTGGTTTAAGTTGACTACTCCTTAAGGATTTAATTTAGCCTGGCAGGAGAGAGAAACACAGCTGGAACTTGCAAAAAATATTTTTGTGAAATATATATTGTAGTTAAGATTGATAGTTAGTTTGTCATGTAAATGTTTTCTTTGCCTCCTGATTCCACTTGCGCTGTATGCTACAGCTGCCGTTTAAACACTCTGAAGTGCCCAATTTGTGCCAGCCTCATAAGTCAGCGGCACAGTTTGGTGTGGCACACTGTCTGGTTGTGTCCTGTTGGCATGGTAATCTAATAGGAGGTTGTTATTTTTGGGTTGATGGCTTGGGGGATGGAAGACTTTGTGTAGTGTGAGCTTCTGAATGCAGACTGCAGACTCGGAACCATAACTTATATCTCAATCAATCTGCTTTTCATCCTTTTGCTTCACTACAATTTGAGCAGCTTTGAGTCTCAGGTCGCGATGTGCTTTGTGAAAGTTGTTGACGTCTTGTGTGGGTCATACGTCTGACTAAAACTATGACGTGACATCATCGGAGTATGAGGTAGTGTTGTGGTAAAAAGGAAACCTTTTTGATTAAAACTCTGAAACACTTGAATCGAATTATATCAACAACGACACAAAGAAGGAGATTTTTCTTACTTTGGAAGTCGTCATGAAGGAGAATTTTAGTTCAGATGGAGTGTAACTATTTAATGGACATATGTATTTATCCAGCATGACTGCTGGGTGCCCTGTTTGTTTTGGAATGGCTTCAGGAAGTCAGGCAGGAAAACAACTTTTCCCTGAGGTCTGCATCCCAGACAGGTAGGCTTCTATAGTAAGATTCCATTTTTCTTTTTTTCCCTCCGTCTTTTTCAATAAAAACGTACCTCTCCACTCACTGGAGTCCCGACTCCTCGACCTCTTCAAACAGCCAGTCCATAGAAAGGCGGTTATAAGTGTGTGTGATCACAGCAGCGACTCCCCAGCCCTACGAGCAAGCTTAACATCTCTGTTTGAGGAGGGAAACCCTTGATGTATTGGTTTACCTGCTTGGTTAGGGTTGCAAAACCGCAGAACAAAGTCAGCAAAGGAGCCTGACCCTTTTTTCCCCCAGTTCTTCCACCAGTTTCACGTGAGCTCATGAAGCCAGAGAGCAGATATGAAACACCCTCTTTGTCAGATTAAAGTTAAGAAGGAGGATGTCTGTTCATGTATAATTTATGAAGGGGTTCAGGTATGTTGGGGGAAGCCCAAATAAGCTTTCAGTGTGCCTTTGAAGATTTGTTTACCTTCTCAGGTAATATTTAGAAATGCCACGATCAAAAGCTGGCCCTTTTGCAAAGAGATGCCCACAAATGATGACTCCACTTGTGTTGGTGCATGACTTCTTTACCGTTTCTCTCTCGTTGCATCGGTAATTGTAAGAAGGCACGTGTGTGTATAGAGAAACTGTAACGTTTCTATGAGCAGGTGTTTGATAAGTAATATTAAGAAGTCTGTAAAGATTATTGGAAACTTTGTATGTGCTAATTTTTTACGCTTTCTTCCAATTTTTGTTTACTTGACTGGCTTTAAGGCTTTACGAACAGCTTGTCATTATGCCGGCGTCCTGGCCTGTCATTGCTCTCTGACTCAGCCGCTCCGTTGTCTTTCTGTTCCTCCTGTCCCTGCAGGTGTGGTTCAGCAGAAAGTGTTGGGCATCATCCCATCCAGTACGGCAGGTGCTGCCCAAACCTACACCACATTCCAGCCACGCACCACCACGCTCAACATCAAGCCCAACACGCCGGGCTCTCAACAGCAGGTACAACTGTGGGGTTTGTGAGTCATAATTGTAGTCTGGAAGTTTATTTTACATGAACTATTTTCATTCTGTTTCTTTGTGCTTTGTTTTTGTTCACATCTGACTTCGCAGAACGTTTAAGACAGCGTTTTTAGTCCCTCCCGGGCCCTGGGAAACCTTAATCATAAACACATTTATTCATGCACAGCCTGTGCCCGCATGTCTCCTCATACTTCATACAACAGAATGTTAAATTGAAATGATGAACTTATTATTTATGACTCGTGGGAGAGCAGCACTTTTTATAGGCTGTCAGACTTTGTGTTGATCTGCTTCTAGCTGAGCTGATTCTAATACAAACTTACACCTTTAGTCTTGTATAAATTTTATTCAGCTGCCTATATGCATCTGCTGGATCTTAACTATCAGGGGACTTTGGGTTCTAATCAACTCAACTGTCCTCATGAAAATATCCTCCAGGTTTTGGCTGGTGGTGGTCAGATTCGTCCAGGAATGACAATGATTCGGACCCCAATCCAGCAGACTGGAACAATGGGAAAGACAATACTCCGCACACCTCTTGTGGTACAACAAGGTAAACTCCTGGTGTCCTTTTCAGTTTGGCAAAAATCTCCCAGAACCATAAAGTGCGTGGAACAGTAACCAGCTGTGTTTACATGGGAATTGTCAGATCCCTAAATTTGTCTCATATCTCTGCTCCAGGTCAGGGTGGACAGCAAGTGGTGACACAGATTATCCGTGGTCAGGCAGTTTCCACGGCAATACCTACTGCCAGCTCCGTCACCACAGTAACGGGTCAGGGAGTGGCCAGTCCAAACGCAGCGGGTCAGACGGCAGGCCAGACACCACCTGGCACCCCACGGACACAGGGCCAAGGCCAGGTTAAGCTCACCATGGCCCAGCTCACACAGCTCACACAGGTTTGTGAGGGGGGAAGAAGTGTTCACACTCGCAAATGAACAGGCTCTGCATGCGTTTGAATTTCCCTCAGATTAATAAAGTATAAATCGTGTATACATGTGTTATATACATGTGCATTTTTTAAGCAGTCAGATTTACAATTTATTCATGGTTAAAAGAAGTTTGTTATGTAGCTAGTTGGTTTTAAATGTTGCAGTCAAAAGTTTAAACATCCATTTTATGGATTTGTTAGTTATACGACACAACAGAGATTAAAACACTGAAAACGCATTAACGTCTCAATTTGCGTTTTTGGCTGATTGTTTTTATTATATTTACTAAAAAATGTATAGAAGAAAAAAAAAAATAATAATAATAGATAAATACATAATGATTGATAAAAAATAACTTAATGTGGCCTTTACAAAATATTCCAGTTTCCTGAACAGGAATGTTTGAAAACCATCCAACAGAAATTAAAATGTTATCACCTTTAAGCACAGGATTATGTGTCCTGTGTGGTTTTCTCCTTTGTACTCATTCACAGGCCTTCCCTCTCTGCTTTACTTCCCACAGAAACAGCAGGCCGGGTCCACTGTGGACAGACAGGCTGGTGTGAGTGGGGCTCAGCAGGCTCTGACTGTAATGGTTCAGGGTCAGGGGCAGACCACTGGCCAGCTGCAGGTCATACCTCACGGCGTCACTGTCATTCCGGGACCCGGGCAGCAGCTCATGCAGGCGACACTGCCCAATGGCCAGGTGCAGCGTTTCCTTTTCACCCCCTTGGCTTCGGCTGCCGCACCTACTACAAGCACGGGTATGACACAGCGTTGCAAGGGTCGCTCAGCAGACAAGATTATTTTAGACACACACATGCATTATTTGTCACGTTAGATAGTCTATTCAATAAAACATTTCCCTTAACTACTTTTCTTTTTGTAGCCACCGCGGTTCCGAGTGTGCCCAGCTCCACCTCCAACAAAACCCCAGCTCAGCCCGCACAGCAAGCTGCCGCCCCAATCCAGGCCGGCGCCAGCCCGCTGGCCCCAACCAGCACGCCTTCGTTAGCCACCCCCCAGGGCCAGTTACCCCCTCAGACACAGGCCCAAATGCCCATCCAGTCTCCCACGTCACTCCAGGTCAAAACTCAGGGGGGAACGGCCCAGCTGCAGCTGCAGCAAACGCCCCAGATCATCAGCATGTCGGGACTGCAGCAGCAGGTACAGGTACGATGAGCAGAAAAAGGTCACGACTTCCTTAGGTCCTCACCGGCTTATCTCACGTGAAAGTTACTGGTGGTCATCTGCAGTTCAGCAGCCTGGCCTCTCTCAGAGTCTAAGTGTTCCCCTGTTTGTTTGTTTTTTAATGAATGGTGTGTGTGATGGTCAGGTGTTGGCCCAGCTGCAGGCCCAGCAGGGTGGAGGCTCTCTGCCACAGCACATCAAATTGCAGCTTCCTATCCAGATACAACAGAGTGGGACCACCTCGGCACAGGGCGGACAGGTACCCCATCCAGCTTTCCTTAGAGCTTTAGGCCATTTTCAGTCATCACACGTGTAATGGTATTCCATGCAACTTATGTGAGGTCATATGAGCTCTATGTTTCTATGAATTTAAGAATATTAATAGAAACTAAGAAAGAACAGTCTGAAGGAGGCTTAGTACTGTTTAAGGGGTATGTAAGCTAGGAAATATTTAGATTTTACTTGTATGCTTTAAAGATTAGTAGATCCAATGTACAGAACCTGCACACAGCAGATGGTTCTGAAAATGTTGTCTAACCCAATGACATTGTTGGTAAAAAAATTAAATCGGTCTGGCTTTCACATGGAACTTCTCATCCCCTAGCAGCCCCTGTGTTAAATGCAGCCTCTGTTTCATGTTAACAAAACCAACCTGAGATGAAATGTCACAAATGTTGGTTTGTTAAAACGCGTGTTCACTAGCACACCATTATCTCTCCTCAGATTGGAAATGTAGTAACCATCCAGGCAGCATCTGTCCAAGAGCAGCTGCAGAGGATCCAGCAGCTCAGAGAGCAGCAGCAGAAGAAGAAGAAACAGGCCGCAGAAGCAAAGAAAGAGCTGTCCCTGAGCGCCGCCAACCAAAGCGACATCATTCAGAAACAGGTGTCTGTCGTCCACTCGGTCCAGTCAAATCTGTCTCTGACTTCTACATGGGTTTTGACTTTGTTTGTTTACCTTTATGTTGTTCTCCCTGCATGGTCTCATCATACTTGATAATCATAAATATTGATAGTTCTCCATATATGGTAAGCTGTTAAACTTAGTTAGATCAACATCAGTTTAAATGACCTGACCTGATGCGGTTAGATGTTTGTATATCCAAGATTCTCTAATGATGGGTCTTTGCTCCACTTGGACTCACTCTTTTTCTTTAAAACTCTCTCCTGTCGTGGAAGGTGCAGTTTTGTGCTGACATTTTTTTTTTCTGCTCCATGTTCCAGGTGGTCATGAAACAAAACGCTGTGATTGAGCACCTTAAACAGAAGAAGACCATGACGCCTGCGGAGAGGGAGGAAAACCAGAGGTCTGTGCTTGCTGTCTGTAAAAACGACCGGATGATATTTAGTCAAAGGGATCACATAGTGTTGCAAAGGGTCTCTGGACACGTTGGTGGAGACTTCAAAGAAGGGACATTACTCTCTTAACAGCAGTTTGTAATCATTTGCCATGAAAAAGGCTATAAATGAATAAGTCGTTGCACAACTTCGACATAAAATGGAAATGGTTCAGAGAAAACTCTCCCACCTCAAAGCTTACATGCTGCAGATGGGTAATGCTCTGACCAGTGGCTGACCTGGACAGACATGTGTTTACGTCCGCAGGAGTTGTGTCAACACTGTACCCATTCACACAGACCTGAAATACCAAACCCAGACTGCCGTTACATCACTGCACCAACTGTCTATTCTCTGCTTATTTGTCATGCTTTTTTCCATTTCTTCATGTCATCCTTTTTATTCCAACTCTGTTCCTTGAAAACACATCCCTGTTTGTAGTTGTGCAGACTTTGACATCATTTCTTGTTTTTCTGTATTTATTTATTTTTTAATTTATATTTTCGTTCTTCTACTTTCACGCTGCATTTGCTTTGTTTATCTCAGAGTGATCGCTGTAAGAACCCTGGCCGGTCTTTGACCTCTGCAGCCATGTATGCGTTTATGTGGTATTCACACAAATGTACACCGAAGGAGGCACCAACTCTCGATCTTACTTGTGAATATTAGCGAACACAAGTGAACATACTGTGGACGGAGGCCCATAAATTATGCGGATTTATTGTCATAGTCTGACATTAGCTCTTAAGAAAATGTTCTCAGAGGAGATTAAATCTGTGTATCTTTGCCTTTCCTCCTTTTTTCGCTCATAATTCTCAGCGTTGATTTAATTTGCAAAAGCATAAATCACACACCCTTAATGAGTGTACATAACTTTCTATTCTCAAGCATTTAACCCATTACAGCCTAAGGTATGCCTTTAAAACATTCTGAAACTGAAGTCAAATGTAAAGCAGCTCAAAGGCTTTATTTATTTTCGTTTGTTTGGTTTTGATGGAAAGTGTTGTTTTTTGCCTACATAAGAGCCCTGAGGCTCTCAAGCAAGAAGCATGCAAACATGGCATCTGATCTGAGATGCTTCATTTGCTTGAATGTCCGACCTGTTTCCTTCCTAAACCTAATTTTTAAGTTTCCACTTGCTCTCTATCCATCCATCTCACTTCATTCCTCTCTTCTATTTGTCCAACTGGCAGCTGCACTCATTTGCTACTGAGCCACTGAGAGATTGAGAAAAATAAACACGGCATTTTGCCCTCTTAACTGTAAAACACAGCACATCAGGTTCAGATTTGAGTTGTTCAGTGCTTCTTTTCTTTATTGTATTTTAGTTTTTGTTAGATTTTTTATGTTCATTAAAAGGGGGAAGCTAAAATCCAGATTAGATTTAGAAATTAAGTCAGAACCACTGTGAGACACAAGACATTGTGACTTCAATGCGCCAATGTTTCTTTTTCAAGGGTTAAGAGGTTGTTAGACTCTGATTAATTCCTGTCTCACTCGGCTTGTATTTTCTATATCTGTTCAGAATGATCGTCTGCAACCAGGTGATGAAGTACATCCTCGACCGGATAGACAAAGATGAGAGGCAGGAGGCCAAGAGGAAGAAGAAGGAAGAAGTGGTGGAGGCTAAGAGGAGGTTGGCTAACGCTAGTAAACTGTCTTCGCTCCTGTACCGACACAAAGAGAGCCTAAAGATGGAGATTCTGAAGAAACGGGCGCTTCTGGACAAAGAGCTGCAGCTGGAGGCTCAGGTATAAAGACCATGACTAATCATCAGGAAACCTGAGCGACGAATTACCACAAATTGTTTCTTTAAAAGGCAGAAGAGAGATAAAGACAGAAAAGGCTGATGTGAACTGTGTTGCATTTGTCAGGAGGAGCTGAAGAGGGACCTGTTGCGCATGAGGAGGGAGAAGGAGAGGGCTCAGGCTGCAGCGCAGCAGGCCGCCCAGGCGGCCGCCGCCGCCCACAACCAGCAGCAGCAAACTCTGGCACACACGCACGGCGGCGCCTCCCAGCACCACCTCACCACGCCCGTCACCTCCACACACAAGAGGAAACGGGAGGAGGAGAAGGAGATAGCAATGACAACCAAGTCCAAGAAGAAGAAAATGATCTCTACAACAAGCACAAAGGAGAGCAAGAAGGACACAAAGCTGTACTGCATCTGCAAGACACCCTACGACGAGACCAAGTACGCTAAGCGCGGAAATCTGAGTAACACACAGTTCGTCTAATGGCCCCGACTGCCTAGTGGGGGCTGTTTAGATTTGTTATTGAATTGCTTAGTCCACATGGTGGTTCAGATGGGAGGGAAAAGTAACATAAGTGAGCCTCTGATTCCGTTACACATTTGTGAAGTACATTCACAGCAGGCATCAGTCATCTACACAAACAGGCTTGTTACTCATCTGATTGCGATTTATTACAGAGGCCGAGTTTCTGTTCTCTTCAAAATTAAGATGATTTTGGGGGAGTTTTAACCAGGATCCTCTTTTTTTCTTTAAAGGTTTTATATCGGCTGCGACCTTTGTACTAACTGGTATCACGGGGACTGTGTGGGCATCACGGAGAAGGAGGCTAAGAAAATGGACGACTACATCTGCGTGGAGTGTAAACGGGGCCAGGAGAGCAGCACCGAGGAGCTGTACTGCATTTGTCAAACTCCATACGACGAGTCCCAGTAAGGAGCAGCGAGAGAGTTTGTGTGAATGTGTGTGTGTGTGCTGGAACGTGTTTTATTTGTTTTGAGGTAGGAAATAAGCACATAAAAACAATGTGAAAACTTTGCCAGAAATAAAATCGTCAGCGGATCTGATGATAAATCAACAGAAACCATCTCTCATAAAGACTGTTCTGTTGTATTTTCCTGGGTCAGGGTCTTTCAATCAGCAAAACCAGATTTGATGCTGTACAGGTTAAGATTTCATGATTCTGTTTGTAGCGTTGGCCTTTTCTTACATTGGCCTTCCCAACCTTTTAATGAGCGATAAAGCTAAACTAAACTGTGGACTTTGAACTATTGCAGGTTTTACATCGGCTGTGATCGATGTCAGAACTGGTACCACGGCCGCTGTGTGGGAATCCTGCAGAGCGAAGCCAACCACATCGACGAATACGTGTGTCCGCAGTGTCAGTCCACAGAGGACGCCATGACCGTCTTCACGCCGCTCACAGAGAAAGACTACGAAGGCCTGCGGAGGATCCTCCGTTCTCTGCAGGTGGGCAGGAGGGTTACAGTGTACAGCTAGCGTTATCTGATCTTGATCTGAGATCAGTAATCACCGATTAGAGTGTTTTCTGCGGATGTTTACTCCCCACGGCGTGGCACGCCGTAAATAAAAACAGAAGCCCATTCAGAAGCAGCTTTGTAGTCCTTTCATTATCAGCGGTAGGTCCAACACCAGCACAGCTCCGTGTGGCCGCACTGAAGTAAGAGCAGCAAACAAAAGTCCTCTGTGTCCATCATATCTGATGGGTTGGGCTCCCCTACTTGGACATCTGCCCAACTTCAGCTATTTTCCTCTTTCCAAACTTCTCTCCCTCTCTCCCTTTTCTACCTCTCTGTCAGCATTGTGTGAGAGAAACAGAGAGAAATGTAGTGGAACGTTAGAGTGAACATCTGTGTTGACCCACCTGCTTTCAGTGTAATTTTCATGGGGATGTTTGTTTTTCTTTTTTGGTTTCAGCTTTCTCAAGTGTCTGTATCTCCTTTTTTTCTTTTTTTTTGTCCCTCCCTCCTCTGCAGGCACATAAAATGGGGTGGCCGTTCCTGGAGCCAGTGGATACGAATGATGCCCCGGACTACTACAGGGTTATCAAGGAACCAATGGGTGAGTGGAGTGTGTGTGTGCGACCGGTGGTCACAAAGAGGCTGTATTATTTATGTCGGAAATGTCACATAGTCTGCCCCCAAGCACTTTGTGTGCCAAAAAATGTAATGTTTTTATCTGCAGATGTATGAAATCTCCAGCTTTGTGTCATTAGAAAACTTCCCAATTCTACTTTTTATCGTTATCACTCGTGCTTGAGAAGCTGTTCCATCACTCGTGCTTGAGAAGCTGTTCCAGTGTTTAATAAAAGCATATCAGCGCTGGAATCATGAAAGTAGTTTAATTTCAGACTTCACGTGCATTTTACGCGTACAGAAGCATCGCGTTGAAATGGCTGCACATGTAACACAGTTTGAATGCTTATTTATGCTTTTCAATAGATGCAGAATGTGGTAAAACATACTTATCTTAGCAGAGTAATCAAATGTCTAAATGTTTTTTCTTCTTTTTAAATGAAATAAGTCAGTACCTTTTTACCTTTTTCCTGCATCATATTCCCACAGATTACCAGAGCAGCTATGTTCATCTTTCCCATTTTCCTTTACATAAGTTCAATGTTGAAATCATTGGGGATACGGTCATTTCAGATGTTTATCTTTTGTTTTTTGTTTTAAAACCATTCAGTCACATTCCACATCAACTAGACGGCACCTATTTTTAAGAAATGAATGGAAAAAGACCAAAATTGAGCACTTAACTCTTGAACAGCTCCATTTGCTTTGGGCAGGCCATGGACAGGCGCTTTTGGCAACTTTTCCTGGAAAGTATTTGTCTTTTGCACTGATGGTTGGACAGTGAAAAACTCTTGTATCCTGCCAAACATCAAAATCTTCTCACGGCCTGGTTCTTTTTTTTCCCCAATGCCAACTTACTGTTAATATTGCACCATATGAAAAAAAGCAGAATATTTACAAGCCACGAGCCAGCAGATAACCACTACTAAATGACTCAGAACTGGATTGGGATCCGTCCCAGTTGGGTCGATAATAGGCCTCAATAGTGCCGTTATTATTTAGCAGTTGCTTTCAGCTATGGAAGTAACACCCCGACTCTGTATCCTAAACATTAAAATAAAGCTGCCAGTGGGCCCACAGAGAGGAGGCCCTCCAACTCAGATCAAACTGGCCATGTAAATGGGGACTTGCGTCAACGGGGCCTTTTTGAACTTCCATGCAAACAAACCGTTAATGAGCTGCTCTGGGTCTGCTGGGCTCCCCTGTGGAAAGGGACCAGCCCCACACTTAGCTCCTGTTGGCCCGGGCCTGGAAACTCTAGTCCCCCCCCTCCCCCTCCCCCTCCTTCCTCCCTTCCACCGTTAGAAAAAGACCTCGTTGGTTAGCAAAGAAAAAAAAAAAACTAAAAGGAGCATTTGGCTGGTGTGGCTGCAGCCATGGTAGTTTATGGAGGGTTTTGAGATTAAATCTGATGACGGAGAAGAAGGAGGTCTTTGATATTGACCATGAGGTTTAGCTCGTGGCCAGCTGGGTGGGGGTTAAGGAGCCGTAGGGCCCTGGGGATGCCGTGCAGAGAAATCCACCCGCCGCAGCAGAACGCAGAACGCCGGCGCCAATTAGCCTCCTAGCTAATGTGATCAGATGTGATTTTACAAGGGCACTGGCATGGAAAACTCCTTTCAAGAAAAGACAGGAAACGGATTCCCTCATATGCGCTGCACTTTTAAACACTTCTACGGTGTTGCAAGATGTTGTCTCTTTCTTCAGAAGTGATGCTCTCCTCAGGAATGACAAATAGCTCACATCTCAGTAACTGATCTGGAATCCTGAGCAGATGGAGGTTAAAGCTGGCAGAGGTTTTGGATTTTTGCTGTCACATTAAAAGTGATGCACTGTGCTTTGTCTGTCAGGCCCGCACCGCACAAACCAGCAATTACCGCCGAGCTAGCTCACTGGTGTGTCGAGCAGATCATTAGAAAACCAAAATATTTATCTCCTGCTTCCAAAGCTTGTGGGGTTTGTTGTTTTTTTTCTCTCGGAATGTCTCACAGTTAACTTTGGAGGGTCTTATTGATGCTTTCATTTGACGTGCTGTGCTTTCAGGCTAGCCTAACACGTTTCAAACACCTTTTCTCCAGACCTGTCCACCATGGAGGAGAGGTTGCAGAAGCATGAGTACATCAAGCTGACTGAGTTTGTAGCAGACATGACCAAAATCTTCGACAACTGCCGTTACTACAATCCCAGCGACTCGCCCTTCTACCAGTGTGCCGAGATTCTGGAAAATTTCTTTGTCCAGAAGCTCAAAGGCTTTAAAGCCAGCAGGTGAGTGGTGTTGAAGGACACAAAGACAGGAAAAGTATCTAGTGTGGGAAAAAAAAGTCCCTTTTAAGAACTGCTCTGCTTCTTTGATGCTTCCTTTGGATTTTCATGCTGTCATTTTCTCTGTCTTCTAAAAGTTCCTGTTCAGGACCCCATCACTTTTTACATGATCTTTATTTCTCACCCATCAACCCACATTGAGTTTCAGCTTTCACTGTGTACTGAAGTCCCTTTTTTATATTAAAGATTGTTTTCAGTCATCCAGACCACACAAAGAGCCACATTTTCTATCATTTCATACCCCAGTATTACTGTAAAGACACACGGGTGAAGAGTCGAGCGTGTTTTGTCTGCGTCCTCTGAGCTTATCGCTTTACCACCGTGTGCTCCTTTATCAATCACCCTTAGCACAAATGTAACCTCAATGGTTACATAAAGAAGTTGCCAGAGAAAGATATGTTTCCCGCATAATCACCATAACTGCTGACAAACATTAGAACAAGCTTAATGCTTTTTGATAAAAGTCATTGGACAAATAAATCTGAGGGAGAAACATCAGTTTTCTCTTCCTGTGAGTTTCATATTTAGTCAAACTGGAGGTTCTCTCGTCTCAGAGCATTAGCTATGTGAGTTGTTGAGTTGTGATGATTCATTAGTGCGCAGAGACTTGCGGGTTGCATCCAGCTCGATGTGCCTGAAACAGAGATTTCCTTCGCCTGCATGTATTGACTCCACCAATTCTTTCTCTCTCTTGCAGATTGTGATGTCAAACTCCTGGATGCCGGGGTCACTTTTAAAACAAAACATAATTCTCTATCCTGGATGTTGCTGTTTTGACTCAATCAAAACAGCGAGAAAGTCAAGCTATCAAACACACACATTAGGTGTGATGAATTTTGTTCTTATTTTAGAAGCAAAGTAAAGAAAGATAAGTTTCTACTGTTTAACGATTGCAGCCATGTTGGTAGCACAAAGCAGTCAAGGGAAAATGTATTTTCGTACACTGTCACACCCAATGCCGTTTTTATTATGTGTCAGAATATGAGGAAGAGGCTTCACTCATCCTGTCATTCATTGTTTTGAGATTTAATAGAAAAAAATAAAGAGAAAAGCTGATCATTTTGGTTGTAAAATCAAACTTCAGCTTCACACAAACATAGAAAACTATTGTTCCCCTTTTGTAGAACTTTTTATTTTGGTCACAACATACTGCAGTTGAAACTTTTTACCTCATTTCATAGCTGAAATTTTACAAAAAACCGCATGCAACATATATTAGTTTCTTTTTGTTGGCTGTACCCATGTATAATGTTATTTTATGTTCAGATTATATCTTTTCTTGAAGGACTATTTTATGTACTAAAGGAAATAATGGTAGAACTTGTAAAGATAGATCTAGTAGAGCTTTCCTGTTCTGAATACGGTGAGCTTGGCAGTTTTCAGGTTAGAAAAATGAACCATGTACAATGTACATACATTGTTGGGCCGACATCACACCACATCTTTCCGTGACATTCAACCAACATGGCTGCTTGGTCTCTGTAAAGGTGTCTGACCCACTGGCATCCAATATTTGTTACTTTGTTGCTTGTTTTTTGTATCCCCCCCCCTCTAGTCATATTTTTGTCACATATTGTAAAGCTTTTAATAAAAAAAGAAGACAACCACAGGTTTTCCAACCGTTTTCTTCCTCCTCTCTTTGCTCATCTCTGTAGGTCACATAACAACAAGCTACAGTCAGCAGCATCTTAGCTCCCTCCTAAAAAAGCCAGTGTCTCAGAGACACGCCTGAGAGATTGGGACTCGTGGCCCGTCGGGCTGCAGCCGAACCCCGAGTTTTCTTTCTGGAGGAGAGCCAGCCCTTCCCCTCCAACTCTGATGTCAAGCGCACCACCCCTCCAACAAGAAGTGAAACGTAAAAGCCCCTTTTCCTCCTTTAGAGCAGGGAGAGGACAGCAGCAGGGCTTGCTCGATGGCCTCTAGCATCCTAACCAGTGTAGCTTCTCCATAAGCTGGAAACGGGAGGGACAGGAGGCGGTTAGGCTGGCTGGTCAGATGCTCAGTGGTGGTCGAAACCTCACAGCCGCAGTCCACCGGAAATTGTGTGGGATTCATTTTTATGTATCCTTCGTTATCGAAGTGTCGGCTTCCTTTTTTTTCCGCTCAGATATTCTTTCAAATCAATCAGCCCATCAGATTGTCATCTTATTTCAGGTTAGTTCCTGCAACATGCAGAAATTTGTACTTTTACCCCCTCGAAATATGCAGAAGGAACAATTTTCCTATTTCAGTGGTCATCATACTTTCTCAAAGCATGCCTTCTACATTCAGGTGTGCAACCTTTCACCATACACTCATAAACAGTTTTAATTGTTAATATCGCTGCCTCTGTCTGGTCAAATCTGTATCTGATCTGAGATGAGTGTTTGAAGGCAAAGGCGCTTTCATGTTCATTTCTTGAGGGAAACACCCGGACAGTACATCCCACCCACTGCATCCGGCCCCACGTTTGACCTCTTTTTTCCTTTTTTTTTTTTCTTTTTTCCCTAATGTAATGATCTGAAACGCAAGCGAAAAAACTGGCTGTACTTAAAGGAGGAAAAGAGACTGAAGCCTATAGATAAAATGAACTTGTACAAGGTGACTGGAAGTACTGTAGCTCCCTCTATAAACAGTGATGTTAAAGCTCCGTTTCAGAGCCTTTAAGTATTTCTCTCGTTATCTCTCTGCCTCCTCTTCCAGCATTGAAGTTGACAGGTTGGCTCACATATGTCTCTCAACTCGCCCTCAAAGCGTGGTTAAGTAATTGGATAATGGACCTTTCCACGCAGCATCAGCTCAGTTATGTTGCGGTCAGCGGGGGAGTGGCCGGGAGCACACTGAGTGTGGATGTGAGCGTCTTTCTACCACAGGATTTTTAAAGCATTTTTAGCTGCATTTTTTATAATCATATTTGGGAACATTTTTGTAATGCACCAGTTTTGTAGGAGGGGAAGCAGCCTGTGTTTAAGTTGACATGTAGGAAGCAAAAAAAACAACCTGAAATTAGGCCAACATTTCTCTTTTATCCCCAAAGTTTTTACTTTTTTGCGTGTAAAAGCAGAGTTGAGAGATAATGTAGCATCTGTCTTCTTCTCTCTGTGTCTCTCACACAAATGTTCCATCTCTTTGTAATCTGATGATAATGTGCTTTATCCACTGTTTGTAATTTACTTTGTATATTATCACTGTCCAAATATGTAGACAAAAGATTTTTTCAGAGCAGTAGAAGCTTTTATTTTTGACTGTTTGAACCAGCAACAAAGCCCTCCTGTATATTTTTTTTTTGTTTGTTGTTTTTTTTTTGCTTTCTTTCAGGTAAGCTCTACATTTAGATGATATTGCCCTGTGTATATATGAAGTGCTGCACATTGTGAGCATAAAGGTTTTGAACAGAGTAGAGTGAAACGGCAACCTGTACAGTTTTTGTTTTTGTAAGAAACCAACCAGTTCAGCATAACTTCTATAATGGCATTGCATTTCTTGTATTATTTATTCATATCAAGGAAAAAAAAAAACTTTTTTTTGGAGTAATGAGGAAATGTAATTGCAGATTTAAAAAAAAGTACTCTATGTTTTTAACAGATTGTGGCCACTCTGAAGAGATTCTCTTTTGTACTTGATAGGACATTTCATCCTAGATAATAAAGTAATGTTTTGGATGTTGTGTATTATTTTGTATTTTTTTACTACTATTTTCACTATATAGTAAGATAAACAGCCATACGGGGAAAATCTACAATTAGAATAAAAAATATTTGCATAAACGTTTGTTTTTGTCAAGGGAAAATAAGACATGATAATAAAATAGTTTTTTTTAACCATGTTAAAGATTTGGCATCCCCTAATTTCAGCCAGCTGTAATTTTAGAAAAAGGCTTATAAAACGTTTCCAGAGTATAGCAGTAAGAAGGAAGATAAAGCAACAAGTCTGAATGCGTGTGAGATATTTAAAGAGCTTCAGCCTGACCTGGAGCAGCATGGAGTTGTGGCTTCACACTGCAGTCCGAACCAAGCAGGACTCCGTGGGTGAATGCCAAGAGACTCCACCACTGAAGGAAAGGCACAGGAAGGTCAGAACAGAAAGTGGAGGATGGGCCAGAGGGATTCCAGATTTTTGCAAATGTGTTGTGGACGTCATTAGATTTTCAGACACGAGTCAGGCCGGTAAACAAAATACAATTATAACCGAAAGCACAACTCGACAATGGACTGCCTTGAAAACAGGTGGAGAGGGAAAAGATGAGGAAAAGGAAGGAAAAAATGAAGTTGGCTAGTATAAAGAACTTGGAAAACCAAGAAAATAAGGAAAAATCAAGAAAGTGGGAATAAACAGAGCTGAACAACTGGTGAATATATGCATGGTGTGGTGAATTTTAGTCCCCGGTTGGTAACAGGCGGTGCAAACTGCCGTATCCCATTTGGCTTGAAAGTCAGAAATCCGAACTACAAACTGGAACTGAGATAAGCCACGCAAGGCTAAAGGGACTCTTAATTTCCCATTTTGTGTCAGCAAACACAAAAGCTGTTTGTGAGAGACTGGAAGGTAAGATGTCTGCCACGGATTTTGACAGAAGAAACTAGTCATAGTAATATGGTTCCATCTGAATGGCACCACTTTTTATAAGCAGAGCTTTTCAGATCTTAAAGTCCGGGGCTGCTTCTTCAAACGCTGGAATTTGAACTTTCATGTTCACAAGGAAAACTGCATTCACACAGGAACTGTGTAATAACAGGCCCATAAATACACAAAATCTTGTGCTAAGACTGATGGAACTGAGCCTGCATCGCGTGGAGGATTACATTTTGACTGAGCCAAGTTGCAAAAAGCAACTCACAAACTGATACAATCACAGAATAGAATGCACGAAAACGAGGAGGGGGGGTGTTAGTTGTTTCTCTTAGGCAGAGTGAGTTAATCCGACCCTCCACGACAAGTTAACCTTCATCTTAACTTCGGTGTTGGTTCAAGTCAAACGGCGAGCCCTAAAGCAGAAGGTTGCCACCTTTGTGCGCTCACAATTATTTCTGGGATCAAATGACAGAAAGGACACCTCTGACATCTCCCAGCTTTGATGTGTCATCCCCCCCCCCCTCCCTGACCTCCACCTCTTTAACTCCCCTCTCAAACCACTAAATGGATCCAGAGATTCACACGGATCCCGAGATGACCACAAGCCCACGGTCGTTTGGGAGCTTTCACACAGGAAGAAACTGAGATGTTCCCACCTACCCCCCCCTCCCCTCCTCCTCCTTTACATCCTCTGAGATGAGGAATGTCCTCCTGCGGCGATAGTAGCCACAGTGCGGAGCGGGCTCCTGTTTCCTGCCCACATGCATCTGTTCCCTTCAGCGCTGATCCCAGAAAGAGGCTTCATCAAGCCTGGGAACTGACCGGAGCTGAAAGACATGCATGGGAGGGGGAAAGAGGCCGAGTCCAGCCTGCCCGGAGGGCCCGGCCTCGCAATGCGGCGGCGAAACTCTTGACTGTCGCGCCTGACTTTGGGGACTTCTTCTCACGCAGTCGCTGAGAACGATATGATCACTGTTTGAGTTACCGAGTGGACGCGCGTGATATAGCGTGAGTCGGTTTGAAGATAAATGAAATCCTCACAGGACGGTTGAGTACAAAACAAACACATTTTTATTGAGTTCATGTTAAGTAAAAAGCAATGCAAGAGTTCAGTGCAAAAATCTTTTCCCTCTCATAAGAAGCATGTTGAGTTCACATGATACTACAATCAAGCCAGGGATTTTGGGTCGAGCTATTCATGTAGAAAGACATTGTAGGCCTTGTCCTAATTTTACATAACCTCCTTTATTTGTCCTCCGCATTACTCCCACCTCCCTTCTTTTGTGAACCTGCCTACATTTTTCAAATACCCCCATCTGAGCGCTGGCCTTCACTGATTTTTGTGCGTAAGCAAGAAAACAGCAAAAGGAGCCGTGACGGGGGAACTTTCTTTTAGAGTCCAGGTGTGTAGAGGATCGGGTTGCTGTGATTAGATATGTGGCTTATTCCCCACAAAACCACACCTTTTGCTCCTCATTCAGCAAGGCCCTATTTTACACGTCAGGCAAACATTTCATCAAGGACACATTATTAAAGTTTGGAAAATAAGCTGCTCTCATGACCAGCAAAGATCTTTTGCTGCCACCGTGTCCCTTTTTCTCTCCCCCTTCTTTGATTTGTAGCTGGGTTTTCAAACCCTTGATTCCAACATTTAATGGTCTATTTTCATGCATGCAAACATAAAAAAATGCATTACTACTGTAGTGTTTTGGTATGATGTTGTTTTGGAAGCATCCCTGATCACTAATCATGTTCAAAACTTGTAGTAATATATAAAAAAAAAAGGAACCAAGATTGGTTAAATGAACAAAATATTTTACTGCAGAAGAAAATGATCAACTTAGGAACCAGTCATGAATGAATAGCTAGTGTGGACTTGACAGACCTAGATATTTCTATATCAACCAGAAAAATCCATTTACTTGAAAGTGATTGTAAGAAAAACGTCGCTGCTCAGCCCTTTGGGAACTTGAATAAAAATCGAGCCAGTATTATGATACGTGAGGGGAGCCCAGGTGAGAGGACATCCATGGCGTATGCATCACGTCCTTCTGTCTTGCACGGCACGGAGGGGTTAGTTAGGATCGCTTGATGTGAGCTGCAATGTCTCTTCCCCTGCAGCAGGGGGCGACAGTCCCATCTCTGTGTGTTCACCTACACCTGGAGCGGGTGGCCTCCAGAGCTCTCTGGTGTCTCCTTTTGTTAAACCTCTTGACGTAGTTGTTGCTTCGTAGGAGGCCGTCACCGGGCTTCAATTTGCTGCCCAACAGGCTCAGCAGGTCGCTGGGAAGGTGGCGCCTCCGGTGGTAGATCTGGCCCATTACAATGTATCTGGTGCCTTTGGAACAAGGAGAAAAGATGCTAGTGTTGGAGGATTTTTTAAAATCGTAATAAACATGCTGATCTCTGAGAATGGAATTCCCACAGGTTGATAGTTTAGTGTCCAGTTCATGAATCTGAGCATGTAGATCAAATTTCAATTATGTTGTGATTTCATCCTCCATGAACAAATCCAGAAATATAAACATTAGTTCACTAAGTTATTTTATATCTTGTAATTTTAAAAATGATATTGAGATGCATAGATCTCAATATGATAATATTAAGCTAATGTTTAACAACTTGTGTGAGTGAACGCACTGCTAGCTTTTTGGAGGACAGCATTTCTGTACACTGTGGAAAAAAATGGGTGATATCAATATGGAGGTATAGAGCAGCTCTGAACTCTCCCTTAATCCTAAATACCAACAATTGCAGAGCTGGGCTGAATGAAGCAGCCAGTAGGGGCAGCGGCTTATTGTTCCGGTATACTTCCCTCCTGTAGGTGGCAGGAGGTTTCCGTGGAACTCGACGCTGTGGCCTCAGAATCACAATTTCAGGACAGCAATGCCCTGATTTTTCATGCTGTGCACTGAAGACGAGCCCCAATTAGTAAGAGAGTGTAAATGTTTGCTCGTTTGTTATTTGATAAAAAGAGTTATCTATCAAAAACCGTTTAATTGGCTTCTGGTGATGTTATTACTTTGAGTTAGAAATCATGTTAGCTACTTTTGGATTGAAAAACATCACAGTAAAGACTAAAATACATTCTTTGTTCTGTTCTCAATGAACGTGACATGCAGTTGCTCTCCACTTGAGGCAGTCTTTTAACGTATTTAGACATCTTCTCTTCATAAACCAATGATTCATGGGGTTGTTCTCTTGGAGGATCTCAATCAGGCTGTTGTTTTTATTTTTCACCTTTTTTAAAGGCAGATCTCGTTTCCTTAAAAAAACACCTCTGAGCTGTTCTGTAGCACTCACCAAGCTTGATGTCAGGGCAGGGCTTGCTGCACTTGAAGGTATCCAAGACCAGCAGGCGCACTTTAAAGAAAAAGCTGTCGGGCGTCACGTACAGACGGCTCATCTTGTAGAAGCCATCGCTGCTGACCATCAGCGTGATGAGCCGGATTCCTTTACGCACCACTTCAATGTCATGGACAATCCCGTTGACAGCTGTTACACCGAAGAGAAAATCCCAGTTAAATATTATCATGATAATTTTATTACCATAAAAAAGGTCAATTTAACGTGCATTGCAATGCCAAATTGACTGGAATTGAAAAATATTATTTAAAGAGAGAAAAAAAAAATGTTGAACAATTTTTTATTCTTGGTTTGATATGTGCCATTAATTTTTATCCCACAAAAAAAAACCATAGACTGTTATCTCAACTTTCTTTTTAGAATCTGGATGACACATTTGTAAAAAATGCTACTATGTTTTGATTTCACTGGTCATTTTAAACATTTAATGCCTCAAATAACGGCAGCAAAGCAGCCTCACAAGATGAATTTCTGGTGTTGCCTATGGGCACAACAATGAACCAAATTCCCACTTAGGGTTTCCTCTGTCTATTTAAAATCATCATCCCTGACAGACTTTCCTAAACTTCTTTTCCCCATCTCGTCTGTAGTAAGGGGTCCACCCACAAAGCTTTGTGTTTATCAGCCTTATTCATTGTGTTTCTCACTGTGGATGCAGAATCGGCAAATAATTTTTATAGCTAAAGTTACAAATAGTCAAAACTAGGACCATTCAATGCAATAGAAATCACTGATCGGCTGTTTCCACTTGGTTTCCACAAAGCCCGTCGCTGTGTGACTTACCAAACTCGCTGTAGCAGTAATATTCCCTCTCATCCTTCTCCTTCCTGCACTCACTCATGCAGAAGGCATCGTGGGTAAAGTCAGACTCTGCAGAGAAGAGGAACGAGAAGGACACGGTGATTCCTCCATCCCACTCCCATCAGGGCTCAGTGTAACATGAAATACTAATTAGCAATCAGAAGAACAGTAATTAACATTGCCGCTTACTTTTTTATTCTTATTATTCAAAAGCTAGAGACCAAATATTTCTTTTTGGGAAGATTACACATGTAATATTTTCCAGGTGGCTAAAGTTTCCCATGCATTGATCAACTTTAAAACATATATCTACAAAGGGAAGTGTAGGTAAGTGTTGGTAAATCCGGCTCTGTCTAGATGTACAGGTCAAATTTCCGGATTTGGAAAGTGCTCTTCCTATACCTCGTCTCAGGATGTCGAACTGGAAGAGCAGGCTGGAGGAGCGCCGGTTGAAGACTACCGGTGGGCGGCTGTTGTTCCAGGTCCCCGGGCTGATTCCAGACTGGTAGAGGCTGGACTTTCCGGGCCGGTTCTCCTCGGGGTCCTGCCTCCGGTTTGGGGGATCTCTGCGCGGAGAGGCGGCGGGCTGCTGGGGCTGGGCCTGGGGCTGGGCGTGGGCCGGGGCCCTGGGCCTGGCGTTGGGGTGTCCCTCGGCCTCCCCCTGCTGAGGCGGGGGGATGTGGGGCTGGGAGTCCTGGTGGGCTTTCTGTGCCGTGCGGTTGGAGGAGGAACCTGCTGCTCCCGTCAGCAGGATTTTGGGGAGCAGACCCACGGATTCTCCTCTGCTTTTCTCGCTGTTGTGTTCGGTCAAACGGTCGCTTTTGGGGCCCTTTTTGCTCTTGTTGTGGTGGCGGGGAATGGGGCCGAGGTCACTGTGCTTGGGCCATACAGCGGAGGGTAGAGGATGGAGGCTAAATTTAGACTCAATTTTGCTGCTTTTCTCCAGGAGCTCATTGATGGGTAAGGAGGGCTCCTTAAGCTGGAGCCTGCTCTGGTTGTTTTGAACAGGGTCCACAAAACTGTCCTGACCCTTCTCTATAACCGTGTACAGCTCTGTGGTAAAAACAGACAGTTGATGGTCAGTCACATGATCAGATATGGCTCTGGATCATCCTACAACTGTTGGTATTTATTACAAAAACACTCGAATCCCCCCCAAAAATGGATTCAAGTCTTTGATTGTTACTTAACTAGATATAAAGATGTAAAGAAAATGTTTTTATAATCGTAGTTATTCATTTTATTTTGATTTAATCGTTTGCTTGTGCGTATGCGTTTTGGGTCCCCCACCTCTTGTACACAAAACAAACGAATGTTCTGACAAATTTGTGCAAAAAAACAAGAAGAGAAGAAGTCGACCAAACACAAATAAATGTCCACTCACCGTTGACAGCATGCTCTTGGGTGTCATAGAGAGGAAAGAGCAGAAAGCAAAGCACCAGAGTAATCCCTGTCATCCTGGATGCTCTGAGGTGGACGCACTGCTCGGTTTGCTCCGGATTTGGGATTCCTGGGGTTTATATAGGACCGCTCCCGGAGCGGATAGGGTGAGAGGGAGCTGGTGGGACGTACCAAACATAAAAATAAATACGCTTCATTCATAAACTAATTATAAGCAAATTCCGTAAACAATGCCCCCCCTGCGTGTGAAAAGATACGTTTCTGTCTGCTGTATAAGCTTGACAAAAAAGAAACTCATCACCTGTTGGTATCAAATATCATGAAAAATATTCGCTATCTTCTGCTTCAGGTGTCATTGTTTAGTTCAGCTCAATGGTTTAACAGGAGAACCCCAGAACAACAAGTTTGGAGCTATTCCCGATGTTTAGACGTAAGCATATATTTTAACCAGCTACATGGAAAAGCACGAGTCTATTCTGCCCTCCGGTGGTCACAGAGAGCTACTTCAATGGAACGTTGAACTGGTCGTCAAACTTCAGATGTAGGTAACAAAGAGCTAGAAGCTCTAGCTATGTGAAAACTATTCCTTATTTTCAGCACGTATAAGAATATTACATTGCCTTAGATATTATCAACGTCAAGAATTGTATGTTTTTTTGCTTATATTGTATTGGAATATCAATAACAAAATGTCATAATTTAAAAATAACCATGTAGTTTAGAAACACAAGATGTGGAGTTATTTCAAGGTGGCCAGGATTTTATTCATTGATCCTCATACAAATTGATATGGCATGGTAGTTTCAATAAAAGACGTTAAATGCGACCCAGATGGGACTCGAACCCACAATCCCCAGCTCCGGAGGCTGATGCCTTATCCATTAGGCCACTGGGTCATTACGTAGTGAGGAAAACGTATTTCGGATTATATTTTGTAGAGAATCCACGCGGAAACTTCCTGTCTGTTTCCGGACAGTTTTGAAACTAGATATATGTACGCTTTTTACGATGGATTTTGTGGACCACAATAATACTCCAAAATAGAAATAGGTGCAGCCAGCGAACACACTTTCTTCATCTCGCGATGATATGTGCGGTTGCCTTTGACAACGGGTTTTTTTTTCTTGGAGGGTTATGTGGGCGGGTCTTTTAGTCTATTTGGCCAATCAATAATCAGGAAACGAGCGGCTTGTACATGACGTCATGACATGTATTTTTTTCTTTCTACGAGAACCCCAAAGGTAAGGACGTAGCACATGTTTCGTTGCCCTGTGACTTTTAAAAACATATTTGTCATTATATTAATACTGCATTTAGTTTTGTGTTTATACATTTGTTGATATTCTTTGTGTCCATGAATTTAGACAAATTGGCATTATTTACGTACTTACACTGACTAAATTCGGGCCACATGGAATCAGATAACCAGCTTGGCGAAGAACTGTGGGTCAGTTAACTAGCTTTCCGATTGCTTTTTAGCAACCAAGAAGCGAACCAGAGGACAGTGGTCAAAGAAACCGTTTGTTCCGCCGTTTATACGTTTTGTCGTTTCGGTCAACAGATATCCCTCATTCCGCCCGTGGAATCGGTTGACTTGCTCAACGGTCAGGAATGTCAGCTGGCACCGACAGCGGAGCTCGGCTCAACAAGTTCAAAAACAAAGGAAAAGATGCAAATGTAGGTTTTGTCGGTAGATCAAATTGTAGTACTGGAAAAATAATGAATTTGAATATGCTGATTTCTGTGGATACAATCCTCAGGAACTGAGGCGAAGAAGAGCGGAAGTCAACGTAGAGCTCCGAAAAGCAAAGAAAGATGATCAGATCCTGAAGAAGAGGAACGTCCAAAGCCTTTTGGATGAGCCGAGCTCTCCCCTTCAAGAGAAGGACCCCAACGCAAAGGTAGCCCCTGTGACGCCGTGTTTGTATACCTAACTGGAGCCTCTTGAGATGAATGCAGGCTGTGTTTTTACATGTGTGAAACATTTGATAGTCGGCTGTGAATGACTCACAACAGTCTGGCCAGCATGCTAACACGTCTGCACACATCCAAGCGGGAAGGCATATGTAGACACAGGTCAGGCCTTCCTGCACACAGAGGCCAAAGGTCGCATATAATTGTGCTGCAGACTTAAGTGTTTGCCGAATTCTAACTTTGTGGAAGCTGTTCCCCCCTGTGCTCACGGAAAATTTACTGTCACTGGTAAGTTTAGGTTTAATCTGTATAGTGCTGACTGGACTAATTCCAAGCTTGCCTCACCCGTGTTATTTTTACCTTCAGTCTGACCCTGGTTTTCGAGGCAGTAATCGCTTTTGATTCTTGTTTCCACAGCCTCCTCACCACTGGTCTGTGGAGGAAATTGTAAGCTGTGTAAACAGCCAGAATGTAGATCTTCAACTGCAGGCAACACAGACAGCAAGGTACAATGAATGTATATGTTCTTTAACTCATTTGTGTTTGCTGTTTAAATCCCCCCAAGACACAAAGTAAATATGTCTTTAATATCATTAAATAAAGTAACCATTTTGCAATTAAAAAAATGTAACTTCTCCCAAAAATATTTTTTTCTGAGGCTGACCAATTTTTAATTGATTTCATTTTTAATGACTTATAAAACATAGGCATCTATGTCAATGTGTTGACAGAAAGCTTCTTGTAATATAATAGAATAAGTGATATCCATGTCATCTTATTTTCAGGGATTTTATGGTCTAATTGTATTAATAAACTGATGACTTAATCTAACTTCATCAAGAACATCCTTTAGGCAATGCAACTGGAAAATGCCCCACATGTTTCAAGAAGGCTGATATAAAAGTTGGTGTTGAAAAATATTTTTTTTTCAATGATTTCCTTTGAACTAATTTTGTATTGTCTGTGTATTTCCATGTCTGTTTTCTCCTGATTTCCAGAAAGCTTCTTTCCAGGGAAAAGCAACCACCTATTGACAGCATTATTGCTGCTGGCCTCATCCCTACGTTTGTCAGCTTTCTGGGACTGTTTGAATGCCCTCCCATACAGTTTGAGGCAGCCTGGGCCCTCACTAACATTGCTTCAGGTACCTCAGACCAGACTTCTGCGGTAGTAGAGGGAGGAGCCATACCATCCTTCATTGGATTGGTGACATCACCCCATCAGCACATCAGTGAGCAGGCCATTTGGGCCCTGGGTAACATTGCAGGTAATTTACACTGTATCTCTTTGGAGCTCTTTCCATACTTATGGCAATGTCTGGAGAGTTAGGTCACCATATTGGCAGGTGTTGTCTTTTCACATATTGGACACCAGTAAAGTATGGGAAAAAAAGGTTTCCACAAAGACAAATACTCTGGAAGGAAGTCTGGGTTCAGTTTGGAGTAAAATTAATTTATTTGTAATTTAGTTGCTCTGACTTTGTAATTGTACAATTACATGTAATTGTACAGTTGATAACACATTTTTCCCATCTCAAATTTAGGTGATGGACCCAGTCACAGAGATTTGGTGATCAAACATGGTGGATTGGAACCACTCCTAGCCTTGTTGTCAACCCCTGATCTGTCGATATATTCTGTAAGTGTCTGATATGTTTAATATTTCCTGCGCTATAACTTTGTTTCATATAATTTTTGACAAGCTAATTTTCTTTGTTTGGAGGCTTATGAAATTAGTTAGGATGACGTTTTTCTCTTTTAGTAAAACGTTTCCATCTATTACAAATGAGAGTATTCTCTAAATTAACACACTTTTTCACATGTTATGTCAGTCAAGCTACCTGCGCAATATCACCTGGACTCTCTCCAACCTGTGTCGGAATAAGAACCCACCCCCTCCGTTGGCGGCAGTGCAGCAGATGCTTCCCGCATTGGTGCACCTCCTGCACTGCAATGACAGGGAGGTCCTGGCTGATGCCTGCTGGGCTGTGTCCTATCTGACTGATGGCTCTAATGAGAGGATAGAGGTTGTGGTTCATGCTGGCCTGGTGCCCCATCTTGTGCAACTTCTTGCTTGTGGGGAACTCTCCATTGTGGTATGCAATTATTTGTTTTGGAACCTCTTTAGACTGAATGCTATGTATGTTTATGTCTCTCTTTGAGATAAGAGGCAGTTCTTTATCAACTTTATTGTTAGTTGTTTTCAAGATCTAAAGGTGAGACTGGCTATTTGCAGTTTTTCTTTTTCTCACCCCTAGACTCCTACTCTAAGGTCACTTGGCAACATTGTGACAGGAACAGATGAGCAGACCCAGTGTGTCCTAAATGCTGGTGGCCTGGCAATATTCCCCAGCCTTCTGCGCCACAACAAGTCCCACATCCAGAGAGAAGCTGCCTGGGCAATATCCAACATCACTGCCGGCAAGGACGTCCAGATTCAGGAAGTTATTAATGCGGGCCTGATACCCATCCTGGTGGAGATCCTCCAGCAGGTCAGAGCACAGCACACATGAGAAGGCTGCTCATAAGAGGTTTATTTTATACTCGTGAACAGAGTAGCAAAACAATGTTTCCCACTTTACTCATCCGACTTTGAACAACACATAGTCAAAGCACACAACCAAAGCTATAGCTCCCTATCTGAACTCAGTGTCTCATATAGCCTAAACCTCAGAATCTCCATTCAGATAATCTGTATATTTGTTAAAAATATGCATGTCTGTTTGTTGATACAGCAATACAAGCAATTGCTGTCCCAAACTTCCCCTTGCAGTTCATAATGGATCCATCAGGCTCATTTGACGTGTCCCTTCTGTATATCTAATAAATTCATGCTTCACTCTTGGTGCAAATCTGTTCTTTGTGTAGGGAGATTACAAGACCCAGAAGGAGGCAGTGTGGGCTATCACCAATTACACTAGTGGAGGAACAGTGGATCAAGTGGCCTACCTGGTTCATTCCAATGTGCTGGAGCCTCTGCTCAAACTTCTGACTGTCAAAGACAGCAAAATGCTCCTGGTCATTTTGGATGCAGTCTCCAACATTTTACAGGTACATTGGTCCTGTCTTAGTGAACGTCCTTAAGAATAATGAGGAGAGATTATCACATTAAAATTTTCACAGGCCTAAAATAGGGCTTTTGACTTACACCTCAATAGATATGCAAATTAATCGGATCAGAGATAATCTCCAAGTTTGCTGCAGATATTTAAGTTGTCATGTTGCTGGTGTTTTTTGTTTGAAATGGGCCTTCACACTCCCATACGTTTTCTGCCTTAGAATACAAATATATTGGTTTCTGTGGTTATATTTACTGTCCCTGATCAAAAGTAATTCATGATTCTGTCTATGCTTGATTCACTTCTTTATCTTGTTTTGATTTAATTTCCTTAATGTTCACTTGAATACTCTCGCTTCCTCCGTTTTTCTCGGAAGTGGAGCTGCATAAAAGAGGAAGTTTAAGAAAAACATTCTGCATAATGTCGATCAAATTCATGACAGATGAGTGACTTGCCAAAACGTCTTATTGAGGAAACACATTAGTTTAAAAGTCTAGTATGTTAGTCTTGCAGTTGAAATGTTGCATTGGTGATGGAACTATTGACCCTATATTTTCCCCGTTTTACAGATGGCAAAAAACACTGGTGAGATTGATAAAGTGTGTCTAATGATTGAGGAATTGGGTGGACTGGACAAGATTGAGGCACTACAGTCTCATGATAACGAAGCTGTCTATAAGTCCTCCCTCAACATTATCGACAGGTTCTTCTCGGAAGAGGTTGGTTTAGTTCAGATTATCCTCACAAATTTTCTTAGTTTAATTCAGTATATAAAAGTTAGCCAGTTAAATACCTTTTAGGCCATTCCGTCAAATTGAGGACAGAGACTAGAAGGTCTTTAATCTGATGAGAGCTATGTGGTTTTCTAATCCTCTAATGCTTCTCTCCTCTATCTCCAAGACCGAAGAGGAGTCTCTGGTTCCGGAGGCTGGTGAAGACTGCTATGCCTTTCATATTCCTGAGGACCAAAGCACTTTCCAGTTTTAAAAAGTGTGGTTTTCTGTGTTTCTTTCTTCTTTTTTATATTTTTTCTAGACATTTCAACTTTGTACAGAACAGTACAAACACAAACATCCACATTTCAAAGAAATATTTGTAAATACATTTTATTCATTTATACTCTCTTTGTCTCCTGTCGTTTATGTTCTTACAGGCTAATAATTAGTCAATGTTATTGATGAGAAAAGGATTCTGAAAGATTAGAACAATCAGTCCTTCACAATTGGAAATAAAACTTGTTACTTTGTCCATATTACCACTAGGTGGCACTGTGCGCGTTCTTTGTGCGTGTATCTTACATTTCAGAAATCCCTTGTCTATAATGGCATTTATATTTCTGCCTATTTAAATAATAAAGGTTGATATTTTTTCTCCATGATGTTATTAAATGATCCCTTAACGAAATTTGGAATTTTCTAATAATGTTTAAGGGCTGATATCCTGGCAAGGGAAATATTTTTAACATGTTTTTAATTCAATGTGTTACTTATTGTATTACTGTAAGTCTCATAGTTACAGAAGGTTTCAAATTCGTAGATCTATAACTGTGATTGGAAGGTAGACATTATTAACACTATGTATAAAAACTATCAAATTAAACGGGTAATCTACAATCACTTTCCTGTCCAGGAACTGGACGTTTCAATTAAGTCTCAGAATAGTGGCAGAATTTGGGGTTGCAGTTATAAAAAATAAGGATCAATTAAGAAATTATGATACCTTCATCAAGCACATCTTGAGAGATTACTCGATTGGCGCAAAGAAAAACTGTCTCACCAGTTTAATTTGTAACGTTTGCACCGGATGTGCCTTTGTCCCGTCTGCCCTGAGCAGCACAGCCTTTATAGACCAACTTCAGTTTTAGCTGCTCGGGCAGAGCGGACGCCTGGTCGAATGGGGTACAAATCGTCCATTTGATTTCCTTCTGTTCTCGTGCCACGATATATACGTGGTTACGCAGTTATACGATTTCTATTTAGTGGAAAATGGGTTCATTCGGAGAGTGTTTTTCCAGTGATGTGGTTATGGTACCATTATGCTGCATGCACAATCAGCGTGATTTGCTATGGTGATACTACAAGCTAACCCCAAGCTAGCCCAGGGATTGTTTAGGGACATACCTGTTTGAAGAAATCACGCTGTCACATGCATTAGACACCTATTGTACATTTTCATCAAAGTGGAATACATTAGGGAATGTCGAACCAAGGAGCTAGGAGAAATGGCCCAGTAAAGCTGCGGTTGACAGGTAAGAACATTTAAACCCCCTATTACGACGTTCAGTTATGCTAGCCTCTTAGCGTGGAAGCTAATCTTTCACAGTCTAGTGACGTCTGTTGATTGTGAAAACTTATTATATTAGTGATGATTATATTAGTATGTAACACACCTGTCACTTCACCCATATAATTGGTAACTTAAATGCTTAAAATTGAACTGAGTACGACTACCACTAATGCACTGAGCAACACTGAAAGACAGCTTACCTCGGTAGCAGACATTAGCTGTGACACACCGCTGTTTATGTTGTTAATGTAGAACACCAGCGGCACTCTTTACTAACTGGCAATTTTCAAATAACTTCCTGATATCCGTCTATCTTTCTATGTCTATCTGAATATGGAAACCTACATTATTGTCTTGAAAACAAACTTTCAAAATTCTGCTCTGACCTTATTATGTTTTGGTGACATAATTGTACACCTGCATTTGAGAGGACCACCACGTTATTACGGGATGTGCTGTCATTAATTTACATGTAATGCTCATTATTTCCCAGAGATGAGTTCTACTTGAACGAACGTGTCATATTATTTTCGACTGGTTTGGCTGGACCCTCCTTTGTAGAAACTGTGTCAAATTATGAATTTATGTTAAATGATACAATGGATATCTTATCCTGACCCTAACCTTGTTTCATTCTTTGTGTTTGGACTTTCTATTTGATTTTAAATCTCAGTTAGTTGTATTTGGCTTCAGCCTTGCTGATAACTTTGAATTTTCATAGTATCAGATTGATATTCTGTCTTGGTGTAATGTTAATTGTCAAGGCTTGAATAGATTCATTCAGCTCTATGTGCTTTTGGTGAGTGACTGTTTGAAAGGTAGGAAAATGCTGTAAAGAGAAATTGCTACTCAGAACTATGTGCAGTTGTCTTTCCTTCTTCCTGCCTGGGGTCTTTTTCCCCCTCCATATGGGGAATGGTTTTAAACGGACTGCAGTGGTCTTCAGATGGAATCCCAAGAATGTGAAACCTCAGTCTTTTCTGATCAGTCATTCAAAGTGAGATTCATATAATTGTTTGAATAGCCAGAACGTCTGCTCACTGTTAAAATGGAAACCAGTGAGGTGGGGTCTTCATTTAGAGTTTTACATCCATTGCAGGCTTTACATTGTTGCTTTTGTCTTGGCTGATTTTATTTATTATTGTTGAGCCTGTGTGCATTTGGACCTGACACTGCATACCAGTCCAGTTTCCCTCTGTCTGCTTGGTGGTCTCGCAATTGCCTTCTCCCGTCAGAGAAAATGGGGATTAGCTGAACTCTAAAGATATAAAGGGGATTTTGACTAGTCCTTGTGCCGGTTTGGTTTTCTTTTTCAAATGCATCTGTTCCTTGTAGTTCACTAGTGTTCTTTTCATCTAGCCACCATTCTTGTCTTCTAAGCCAGTCAAACCACAGTAAAACCGTGGTTTGGAAATGTGTTCTACGAGTTGATATTCTAACACCCAATCATGATTTTCAAAGAAAGCCTTTTTTTTGTGTCAATGGCAGTTTAAAAAAGGTCAAACTTTGAGTTTTGTCTTTGTTGAGCTACAGATATTGGAACACACAATGTTGGTCCAGGCCGTCACCAGTAATGCTAATGGTTATTTGTTTTCTACCAGTTGAAGCAATACAAGCCATTGCTTTGTTGTATCCCTTAGCAATTTGTCATGACTTTCTTTATTCCTTTTCGTCAAGAAATTATTGAAAGGACTGTTCAGAGAATAAGTTTTACTTATTTATTTTTAGTTACAATATTAAAAAAAATGTACATCTAATGTAATGTCTTGAAGTTTTTTTTAAAGTAAAATGTGAAATATGCCCTTTTTGATACCCCAATCACTGCAGACATCCTGAGCAACATTGTCAGAATTTGCATTGGGTGGTCTTACATTAATGCAGTTTCTCAGAAAATCTTTCTTGTAGCGCATCCTCTTTTTTATGTGAAACAACTGCTCTTTCATGCTTTAATTGGTAATGATATTAAAAATAAGAAAAAAATAGTCTGGAGTTTGTTGATATGAAGAACATCCTTTCCCACAGAGTTTGCTGCCGAGTTTAAAAATGAAAACAGTCTGGGTTTTTGTTAAGTGTTAAGCTAGTGCTCCAGGCTACAAGTCGAGATATTTTTCTCCCAACTCAAGTCTCTACCTCCTGTTACTTTGAAAGATGATGAGATTTAGTGAAATTAAACAAGCTCATTTAAAAAGAAAAACAAAACAATTCTTTCTCTGAGATGTAAACATAGAGATGTAAAAGAACATGAAACTTTTTCTCTCCCCTTACAATTTTTTCTATTGCACAGTACTGTGAGAATCGAGTGTATTTGTGATCTTTTTTTGTCCATTAGCCTCCAGCTGGCACGCAGCAAGCAGAGAATGAATTGAAGCATAATTTTTAGCAGTCATCCTGTTCTGTGAGAGCATGGAACTTAGGCAGCCAGGACTTCTTTTTTTTTTTTTTTGGTCTTCCGTCACTGTTGGTTCTGTTATTATATTTAGGGATGCTGACTCTGGGTCATGTGTGTGTTGAAGAGGGGATACACAGGAAGCTGGTGATTAAGATAATGATTCTGCTTTAGTTTCAGGCACAGCATTACCACTGGGGCAGTCTGCATATCAGGGATGTTATCAGAGACCAGTGTCTCAGCATTCCACTGTCAGCTTCTAGAAAGTACAGTTGTGTGTCAGCTTGTTTGTATTTGCAAGTTCAGTGTTTGTGTTCTTAAAATGGAAGTTACATGTATGCACAAGGAAGGCATCGTCAGCATCCTACAATTTTTGGGAACAATATGTCACTTCTAAACTGTGACCTTTATGGGGGTGTTAATGACATTTCAACTTTATACATACACCTTAAGCTAATTAGAATGTGGATTAAAGCACATGAAAGAAATGGTGATCATTTTGAAGAGCCGACACCATTTATTTTTGGATTATTTCTTAGATAGTATTAAGCAGTGAGTGTGGTAAATGTTCACCTTTTTTTGAAAATTGTCTCTTTTCCCCCCATTTTTTTCTTTAGTGTTTCATGTATCAAAGTCAGTCTATGATCCGTTTTATGTTCATTATCACTTGAAATGGACTAACACAGTAGCATAGTCTCCTTGGTTACAACGTTGTAAAAAACTGTGAAACATAGGGGTCCTTAGAAAACCCATACACAGATTTAGTTAATTATTTAGTTATTTCTCATTTAATTTCTTTGGCTTGCCCCCTTCAAAGAGTGCTTCGTTTTGGCTGTTTAGATGTTGGTCAGAGTTGGTGATTATGAGTCATCAGCACACAGTAATTGTAAGACAGACAGCTGTGTGTTTCTATTGTTCTCTGGTTAATTTCGGAGCAAACAGTGCTCTGGATCAAAGTGCAGTTTGACTCAGTCATTCTAATTCATGGGCACTGCTCAGCATTTCTGATTATGAAACTAAAAGCTTGTTCCAAAGATTTCCCGCAAATTAATTTGTGTCACCTCACACACATCAGGTGGAAGATGCTCTTTCCTGCTCACTTTCTTTCGGCTTACTTCAGACTTTCTGCCTTTTTTAAATCAGACTTTCACTTTCGCTTAAGTTCTTGTCTTTTTCCCATTTGTCTGTGTGTGTGTGTGTGTATATACACCACAGTGTGGATGTGCACATTCCTGTGTAATAGTCTCTGTATCTTTCTTTCTTTATTTCAGTTTCAACATGTTCACTTGATCTTTTGAGACAAGAGACCATCTCATACGGACAGTCATTGACCGCTTCTTTCTGCCCATTTGTTCTCATCTCTTTGTCCATTATTTTGTGACATCTTCACTTTGATCTAATATCTTTCTATCACCTCTCTTCTGGAGACACCTTAACTTCTCTGCTACGGGTCCTTTCTTTTGTTTTGGCTCAAATGCTAATACTTCCTCTCTCAATTCAGTACTTGAACCTTCTGAGTGCCTTAAGACCTAAAACCGGTGTTACCAGTCACAAACTAGTTTTTCCGTTTCACTTGCGTATTGGCTTTGGATGCTTTAGAGTACTATAAATATTAAGAAATGTCTTTAGGTGACGCCAAACTTGATTGCTTGATGAGTATATTGTCAGTTTAGGTTTTCTTCTATTTCACAGAATATTTTAATCTTATATGTAAAGTTTTTAAAAAATCCCTGCGTACTAAAATAACTCTTTTGTGAAGTGTATTTAGTTGTGTGATGTGTTATAATCAAGTAAATGCAACCATAAAGGATTTATGAAAGATTATGATGGACTTTTTCAAATGCATGTCAGTCATCTTGTCGTTCGTATTTTGATGACTTTGTTGTCCATGTCATTCAGTAAGTGCTGACAGATAAGAACCGACTAGATTCTCTTTACTAAACAGTCACTGAAAATTCTGCTTTGTAATTTGAATTTTGCTTAGCAGAACTGTAAGTGGTTTTGTATTTGTTCATCTATCAAGATTGTATTTGGCTTTAAGATGATTTTTTTTCAGTGAGCAGCCTGTGTTTTATAATTAAGCAATTTGGCTGCCATCAGTGGTGTGTTTCTGCATAGTAATAAAGGACCCCAACATCTACAACAGGTTAATCAAGAAACATTTTTACAACATGATAGTAGGTGTGAATTAATTTGTTATTGTTCACTTTAGCGTTGCCTTACATTCCAATGTTTTAAGGAGTAAAGCATATCGGATTCAGAATAAGAGTTTAAATGTTCTCTTTTTTCTAGCTTCATTTATTCATATTTTTCTGTCTGAAACAACAACATTGTCCTCAGAGCCCTGATGTGTACAGTATGATGCCTTTATGACTCAGGGATAACCTTTTTTGACTGTGTTAGCTATGGTATAATTTACAAGCAGATGTTGACCACAGTTAGGGAAAAATAACTGTCTAAGAAAAATTAAGTTTTGACTGGCCAACGGTAACGAGTTCTGCTAAACGGCATGGAGAGCCAATTACACCCGCCCATGCTTTCTGGGAAAATGCATCCTAGAAGTGCCTTCTAATGGG